AGTGTCTGCCTTTCCACATGCTGCCCAGCCAGTCCGATTCGTGCGAACATGGCCACACGAATCAGTAAGTTGGACTTGAGACGTTCATGCGACAAGGGAACAAATGCAGCGTTTTGTCATGCGATCTGAAGAGCGTATTGGGAGTGCGTTCCCCACAGTTTGATTGATGTGAGCTCAAGCTTTCTTGAAGTCTTAGATTTGAGTAGATTTAAGCCCTGTGGTGCCATGTGGGAGCTTTCCATGCTGAATGACAAAATGCTGCAATATGTCAGCACCAGACGTCATTTCATCTTCTTCTTCACCTTTCCCTCAGCAGACCCGCTTGAGCCTTTGGATGTTACCCTTCGACGACATGGATTCTATGCCATGCAAGATCTCGAGCAATTCGTTACCCAATGCAGAACAGAAGGTCTGGACTTTCGCGCCGAGGTTTATGAGTTTTTCATTCGAGGACCATGCGTATATACGCCAATTACGTATGAAGCTCCTGCGCTACCTCATGTCGTGGTGTATGCGTCTGTATGCAGAGAATGGTATTACTCAGTTATTCGATTGATTGGCAACCGCATCTTTGTCAATATTCAACAGCTCTGGTGTCTCGCCCAACTACGTCATGCAACAGTGGAGTGGATTCACCATTCAAATGAAGACAGACTACGCATTGGGTCCGCGTTCATTAACGATTTCAATCTGTGTCGCCTTGTTCAGCCATTGTAAAAAAGTGAGCGGGACCTGACACGTTAATGCGACAAGGGAACAAATGCAGCGCTTTGATAGGGATCTGAGGAACGTCTTGTGAGTGCTCTGATCACAGATTGCTGCAGGAAGTGACGATTCGAGACTGCACTCTTGGCCCCCTTTGGGGGCCTGTTTGTGTTATCCTGCTGTACATGCGATTTTCTGCACTCATGACCGTTTTTCATGCATTTCATTTTTCCTTTCTCCCTTTTCGGTAGATGCAGGGGGCTGGAGTGCATCACAGAAGTCTCCGGCCAACGAAGACGCTTCTGTGAGTGCAGTGAAAACGTACCTGCAGTGGTGCACCTGGGGAGAAGTACTCCAGCTGGTGGCCACAACATGTGTTTTCCAAACATGATTGTTCAAAACAGTTTTACTCTCTCTGAAAACTCTGACATGGTTCTTGCATGGCTTGCACTATGTACGTCATCTACAGAGGACAGGCGGGTCAGTGGAAGCCTTTCCAGTTGTGATCAAGTGAGTGAAGAGAACGCAAGCACGAAACAAGCCAGGCACAAACGAACGAAACACTGTATTTTTTCTATCTATCTTCAAAATCTTCTTACCGGCATTTACCGGGAAGGTCTGATGGAGTTGCTTTGATGTTGAATAGGGATTGGCGCCCAAGGAAGTTCGGCGAACGTTGCCTAACTCGGCCCTTCGCCCCGATCGGCCTCAGAGCTGTGCCGCCGGCAGCTTGCATAAAATTGCAGGAGTGAGCGGTCGTAGCTGCAGGGCCCATATATGTGGGAGCATATGTTGTCGGTGAATCAAGCTAACATCGAAGGCTCTTACTACATCGACGGACCGTATCGTCGCTCTCAACCGTGGCGCACAAGAAAGGCGAGACTCGCAGAAGGGCCTCCGTCGCGAGCGTTGGATCTGGTGCTAAGTTCGTGTACAGGTGCGGAGGTAAGTATGCTGAAAATGCGGTGCAAACACCCGAGCAAGCGAAAGGCCGTCAAGGCTGTGAAGGACATCACTGCTAGGTGGCTCGAGCTCGTACAGTTGACGGCACAACTCGGAGGCTGCGAGCGACCCGATGACATGATTGGCTCCTTGCGGTGTTGACGCAGCGACTTAGCTTCACATGACTTTACATTTCCTCCATGTGGTGCGTTGCTACATGCAACATCCAGCGTCGAAGGTCAGGCCGTGGAACCATACGGCTGACAAGCAACAGTTGCAAAGGAATCGAATCCGAGGCTTTGCTGCTGCCCAAGACGGCCGCAAGACCCGTGCAAAGGCGTGAGGGAGTCCTAGATCTCTTGGTTTTCGCTCATCATTGCACTTACAGCGTCTCTATGCCCAACGCCATGCAACATCGAATGCTGCAGACCTCACTCGCCGGCACTCGGTTGTCAGTCGCATGGTCGAGCATGGCCTCGCACCTTTTCTCTCCTTGCGAAAGCGATGACGACCTCGTCAGCCTTGGGCCTGGAGGAGTTCGTTAATGCCCCTAAGTGGCAACGGGTTGCCCATCGTTTCTGTCCAGCTGCGTCTTTTCTTCAACATCGGGAGAGAATGGCGAATGGCGCAGCAGCAGAAACAAGCTGGGCAACCGGCCTGCATTTGTCAGTGAAACGTTGGATGCCACGGGCTCAGCCGGGCTCAGCGCACGTATGGCGGATCGTTAAGTGCCCAGTCGATGTTCTTCTCGTACCTGGAATATCCATATGCTGCTCACAGGCAACTAGAAAAAGCGCAGTAACACCGAACATCATCTCATCCATCTGTGCATCCATCTATTCTATCCATTTATGCATCCATCCATCTACCCATCCAAGCTTTCAGAACATGTTTGGGCCAGGTGCTGGCAGGATTGAGAAAAAGCACCGCGAATATGTTTCCATGGGGAGCCCCTCGTGTGGGGGGGGAAAGGTACCCGGAACGAGCGCAGGATTTTGATGCTCGGAGGGGGTCGTCCGGGGGGGTCTAATGAGTCTCACCGGATACACTGTCTCCAATTTCTGCTTTTGCACATCTAAATGAGACCTGGCAAGTGTGCAGTAGGTTCTGGAGTAGTTTCGAGTGTGAGAGCGCGCGCATCCCTCTCGCTGTCTCCCCCTCCCCCCATAACCATCACCCAAAACTGACCCTGTGGACTTTCATTGTTGAACCAGACCGGCTGGCCTTAAGTTCTTCGTGGGTCTCCTAAGCACATCTAGCCACCCACGCAGCAAACTGGATTCCGAAGCCTAAGTCCTAAATGGTGCACGTATTCCTATTGGGATCTTCCGAACAAGTCTATATATACCAGGCTACTACTATATGTCTCTTCATACAACAGCCTACACAGAATTACATGGGTAGTAGTGGGAGAAAGTCATTAGGCGCCGGGTTTTCCAGAGGGTCCCCTGTACTTTTTTTTCTAAAGTGCACTTTTCCTTGTATGCAAACCCCTACAAATGGTTTAGCGACGGGTCCTGTCGATGGCCATCCCTGCTTCCGCTTCGCCAAGCTTAGGTGTAGAGGATGTGTATGAACACATAGACTTTGAGTGCACGCTTAGGTACAAACTGTAGGGTCCTCAAAGAACCAAAACACCCTCTGAACTAAAAAATCCACTCCACTCTTCCTACTGTACAAACTAATATGACAAATATAACTGCACAACAGCGACGCGGGCCGGTACCATCCTGTACCCTTTCTCGGTGCAAGCACCCGAACATAATCAGTCTAGCTTCGGCATAAACATTCCCAGGTATCTTTATCTGAAAGGCATCCAGTAGGATCCCACAAGAAGCAAAAAAGGTATAGACTGGGCTGGGCGGTCCACTCCACTCTTCCAACGATACAAACCAATATAGCTGTTGCAGCAGCGGTGTGGGCCGGTATCTATTTGCCGGCCCCGTGCCTGGCTTGGGTAGCCTAGCTTCGGTATAAGCACTCTGCATTTGCCAGGTATTCCTTGTAGCGATGGCATCCAGAAAGTCAAAACCAGAATAAGTACTGGGCTGGGGAGGTGCACTGCACTCTTCCTACTAGTACTATACCTCAACGACATCACGAGACCTCGAACTGGTTTCAGCACTCTAGCGTTTTCCGGTCTCACTCCTCTCTGTCCCTCTTCGTCTAGTTCTGTTTTTCTTTCTCTCCCTTCCGTGGGATGCGTGGGGCAATTATTGGGGCCATGCGAGGCGAGGGGCGCCTACGAGTAGCCTACAACCGAGGGATACATATGGGGACCTCCTTGTGAAAGTACTGGTGGGGGGGGGGGGTATATATTTTGGGGGGTTCCTAGCATGCGACCTATTTCCGGTACCATTTCCGGGAGTGGGGGGCGGGCCTGAAACAGGATGAAACAGGTGCCGGGAGATATGTGGACAGTGGTTCTTGAGAGCGAATAGACCCGAACCCTACAGCAACAGAGACAATAGCAACAGACTTGTTGGATTTGGGAAGCAGTAGAGAAGACAGGAATTGTGCGGAGAGCGGTAGAGAGGAGAGAGGTGCAAACCAGCAGGGCTTAGAAGCTTTGCGGTGGTGCGCAGAATGATGTTTTTGGGTCTGGTCAAGGTCGCTGTCTTGAAGTGTTTCCGGGCGAGTCAGTTGGGAGTCCACTTGTCTCCAACTCTGGGTTGGCTCCTGACGATTGGATACCTGCCGCCTGGTGTTCACGGGCTGCAGCGCTTGCCACCCTGCTCCTTTGAATACCCCGATCATGCACCTGGGACATCTGCGGACTCCATCTATCATCGGAGTTGTCGTCGTGGTAAAGGGACTGTAGCTCTCCGTCTTCATGCAGGGCTTGTTCCGCTGGTACCATTTCGTTGCCGAGGAAGTGCACGTTTGGGTTGGGTTCTGCCTTGTGATAACATGCCGCCGCCCCTCTAATGCACGAGAACAAACAGCACCTTGGCCCGAGGGCCTGCCCCCCTGGCGCGAAGCCGACTTGACTCAGTTTCGATTCTGGGGGTGTTGGACAAGCAACGAACCAAAGTGTCCTATCGCAAGCACAGTACAGATGCTGCCCCTCCTCAACAACACACACACACACACAGCTGCTTGCACTTTCCTGTGGGGCAGGAAAACAAATCAGCTGCTTCAGGGAGGAAGTCAAAGCAGGGACTCTGAAGTTTGCGAATAGCCACGCCGTGCACAGAACAGAAACGTTCGGCTCTGGAAGCACAGCTCCCCAGGAAGAAGCCATCTTCGTTTGATGAACTACACTCTCAGCCACAAGATGAAGCTGATCCAGTCCGAAGCGCTACTGGTAACAAGGAGTCGAAGCTGCCTCAAGCCCTTTCTGAACTGTGAACTTACTGAAAATCCGCCATCTTCCGACCTGTGCTGGCTCTGATGGCGCACTCGTCGATGCGAGCACACCAGGAAAAATCCGTTGCGAAGCCACGGCCTCTGCGAGTGCGAGGATCTCTGCTTTGGCTTTGCTTGGCTCGTAGCAGCTCGCCGCTTCCCGCAACCACGTTCCCGAACAACCTCAGAGGCCCTTGCACTGCATTTCTTCGAACTCGTCTCTCTTGTGGAAATACCTTAGACGACCCAAGCGGCCACTGTAGGCAGAAATGGCCTGCGCTGCAGAGCCAGGCCACGTGTCGCAAGCTTTGTACACAACTTCTTTGAACTTGTCAAATGCCAAAGGCAGAATGCCAAACCTGAGCAGTGCAGCTTCAGCTCGTGTGGCTTGTGATTTCAATTTCAATGGGGTCACCCGGTGGCTTCATCTGGAGGATCGACAACGACCGAGTCCTGTTGCATCGATGCAGGGCAGCCGATGGGCAGTGACTCAGGGAGTCCTTCAAGCCGCCACACAGCGTGACGATGGGGACGGTCCCATAGCGCTGCGCGCACATCTGAGAGGCAGAGCCGTTGGAGCTCAGACTTCCGCAACGCGACAGAACTTGTTTTGCGTTGCAGTCGCAGACCAGCAAGGTGCTCTGCCTGCTATGGTGGCTTAATCGGCTGGATCTGATTTGCCTGGCTTTGGCCAACAACCCCGGGACCTCGGAAAGAGTTGGGAGGTTCATGCTGTCGACGAGCTAGCTGCTGTGGCTGTGCTTGCGTGCGCCAGGGAGAGGCGTCAGCTTTCTCATCTCGTTTATGTGCACAGGGACACAACTTCAAGATCTATTACCAGCACGGATCCGGAATTCAAGGCACGTCGGAGAGTCCCCAAGGTGGTGCTAAGCTCTTCGACGACGATGCTTTGCTGGCAATCTTTATTGCATCTTCATTCGTGAATGCTTGCTTACAAATGCCACAAGATTCCGGTCGGTGTTGCTACAGTGTTGAACTAGGTAAGGGACAATGGGTAATTGGATACGCACGGATGACCATGTCCTGGTGAATCCGGCAAGATTTGATGGTTGAGAGCAGCAAGCAGCAACTAAAAGCAACGACATGATGGCGGAAAATGCGAATCCATTGTCCATGCTTTGTATCGCCTGCTTGGCTGTGCACGTGAGCCTCGAGTCCTGGCACACCACAACTACAACTAAGGTATATTCCGACCCACCTGAGGCAGCCCACACGGCTCATACCTCCCACAGCTGGATGAGAAGTCGCTTTGACATCAAAGCGGTTGATGGGAATTGGCCATGGCATTACAAATCTCACCTCGACGGCATCAGCAGGAAATCGCTGCCGGCGTACCTAGATGCCAAGCGGCACAGGAACTGCGACTTCGTGCGATGTCACAGGCAAAAGCCACGCCGGAGCACATGAGGTGCTCCACGACCGGATCGAAACTCATCCTGGCAGCCAGCGGGCAATGATGATGACGCAGTCAGCAGCATGACCTGTATCACCGCATCTCCGCACCCCATCATGTTGCTCGTTCCGTGCTTTTTGAATTTTCACCGTTGATTTTTTCCTGCCCGTACAAGCCGCGCAACCATCTGATCCAACAGTCATGTCTGGGTGGCTCTGAAAATTGGTAAATGTTCTTTAAGCCTGCGTGGCCTGCTGTGATTGCCAACAGCAGTGAGTGAAAGCACTATGCCACTCCACATCGATTGCTGTAGCTTTTGGCAGGGTGAAAGCTTGGATGATAGCAGCACCGTGTCCTACCCACATAACTTACATGGTGTGGTTGTTCGTTACTAGTCTCCTCATACTAAAACCCAAACATGTACGACACATTACGACACTGACCATGATTTACAAGCAGGCCTATATCCACTCTCACATGGCTCCATGCAAGGTTTTGTTGCGCAGCTTCACTGCGCCTGCACAGCAAAATGAAGATCCTTGGCTTTATCGATCCAGCAGGCTTTCCCCCAGCATGAGAAAAACCTGCCGGCTGGTGAAGAGCTTTGGTGTTCTTGCCTTTGCCCAATACGGACAGACAGCTTTCACCGACGTTTCATCGGTGTGCGCCAGTATGCACGGATGGATCTCCGGCCTTCTCACTGCAGTCAAGGCAGTCAAAACACGCCCCATCGACCCGGAGAATCGTCCAGGATAACGACGGGCTGCATCTTCCAGGCCTGCCAGAACAAAACGAAACTGAAGCCACCTGAGATCACTTGTTGTGTGGGCAGCACGGGGTGAAAACATTCTTGACCGGTTTGGAGTGCTTGGCCTGCTCGCCCCTTGCTCCCAACCTCTTGACGCATGTGGACTCTGTTCCGACCGGGCCAGACACACCACCGACCCTGAACCCACTGAGCGCTAAGGCCCATTTCCAACTTAGACTCCGAACTGTTAAACCGCAGCAGGAAGCCCCAGACCAGGCGGGAGCACCAGCTTTGGATTTAGGGAGGCGGAGACTGTGGCGAAAGCACGATTTCATATTGGCCGAATTGAGAAACCTCCGTGGCGAGAGCACGATTTCCAAAAAAGTCACACAATACGCAAGCACTGTGCCGCCTGTCACGAGATTTTATTGACACTCGACAAGTGACAAGTATCATCAAGTATTCAATTGAGGCCTTGCCTTCCTTGACCTGCGGGTCCTATTATGGGGCGACTGAAAGTACGACAGGTGACAGAGCAGGTACACGAACAGTTACTCCAGGAAACCAGCATTCATCCAAGCAGCCTCTGACATAAACTTCGTCACCATTGCCCATCATGAGAACCTTTCGATGGTTGCTATCAGAGAATGCGGCCAAACATTGCTGCCGGAATGTAGCTCAAGTCGGCTGACACTGCCTGGATGTGTCCGGTGACATTGTTTCCAGTGTCCTGCATCATCCACTCGATTGCCTGTCGGCCGGGTAAGCAGCAGGTAGGGCTCTATGCTGCGAAAGATTGACTGCATAGTTGTATGATGCTGTATGTACGCTGTCCGGCAAATTCTGCTCAACAAAGTTTCCCGTCACGCCGTCACGGCTTCCATATGGATTCATGTAAGAAGCACTTCCGACTTTTTTGACTCTGTCGTTTTCCTTGTGTTCATTTTCACTCGAAGCTGTTTACCCACTCATCCGGGAGTGTTGCCCGGAGCTTTGGGGTCCACTCCGCCACTCCGAGGGTACACTGTTTGAGGACGTGTTTGCTGGGGGATGGCTGCATATCTTCCACTTCCCCTTGTACAGGATATGAGTCCTGTGACTGTGAGTGACCGGATGCGAAGGGACTACGCTGCACCTAGTACCTGCAAAGGGATCTGTGGGGAAGCATGCTATGCCATTACGGCGCCCAGCTCGTCGCAAAGAGACGTTTCCTGCTTCGTCTAGTACCTCGCAGGGGGACCTCCTTGGAACGAGTTTCGCGCACCTGGCTTCCGCGAGATGGCACGCTGTCTTGCCCCTACGCCTCCCTGCCGGTCTTGGTGGTGCAGGTGAAAGCCCAGCTGTTGCCCCACACAATGGCACGCTTGACTGGGCCTGTGCTGGACCTTGGACGTTGCTTCCAGTAAGCAGGTCGCTCTGCCAGTTTGAACTCCAAGTGAAGGGGGCAATCACGCTTGCGGAGCCCCTGAGAAGCCAGGAGGGATGGCGCCTGAGGCATGGGCCCGCTCGGCAAGGTCGCACTTCACTCACTCACTCACTCACTCACTCGAAACTGCTATGTTACCAGCATATTGTTGCCGATGTCCTGCCCAAACACATTCGACGATTGTTCATACATCACCAACATGTTTAGTGAAAACTAAGTACGTACATGCACGCGTCTGCTATGTATGCGTACATTGTATCAACATGGTTTCCATCATGCTGCATTGCATAAAACTATACAGCAGTGTACAATACAACATGTCGGTATGTATTGCACTGCAGTTGAATGAAACTTGCGCTATGATTTGTTAGGAGCACAGTCAAACAATCCTTGCGACCAGTAGCTGCGAGTACAGTACCTAGGCAATAAACTAATTGATGCAAGTTGAGTTGTGTTGGCGGGCATGGATGCTTGGACGGCACAGCATTGCACACGTGTAGAGGTCACCAACAAACGCCGTCGGCAGACGCATTGCCGTGCAAGCTTCCTTAAGAGTTGGGGCTTCCACCCAAGATCTTCTTTGCCTGCTTGTTGCTTTATATTTTAGAGCTCATGTCCTCCGAACGGAAAAGGTTTTGCACCCAACAACTCCTCCTGGGGCTTGGGGTGTCCCTCCCAACTACTGAGGGGTTCGCATGTGAAGCCTAACGGACCAGACAGCCGAAGCAAGGATCTCAGAAAGGACTAGGAGACCCTCAGCCAGAAGAGCAGGAGAGCACGAGAAAGGAAAAACATCACATCTCCAAAATGTCCTGCCCCTTCGCTCTGCGGATGATATGCACCTGCAAGATCAGGTCAACTCCCTTCTGCTCGGTCAACCGGCCGACGAATGAGACCTCGGCACAGTGACAGCTGAGAGCCTGACAGCTGTACTGTGCAAGCACAACAGCAGCCACGTATACCGTATACCTACGAGTACTTCTTAAACCGAAGCCATCCCATGCCCCATGCAGGGCTAGTGACCAATACCACGCTCTCATCCACTTGCAAGCCAACACGTTCCTGGCGCAGCACGAAGGAAAGCAGTCTGACAAGAAGAGCCTCCTGCCAAACGAGCCGGCAGTCCTGAAGCTGTCCTTTACATGCAGCCTGGTCAAGACCCAGAAGTATGAAGAGGCAGATCGTTGCCATTGCCGGTCCTTGCCATCGGCTAAAGAGCTCAGATCGTACTGCATGACCAGGTGAGGATCTGTCCTGGCGAGGTTAAACTCAGTGAAACGTCTGCAGCTGAGACGATCGAAGCATGCCAAGATCAGCCAGCTAAGCCGTGGATTCCATGTGACGACGTCTATTCCATTCAAGATGCCGCCAAGAAAAAACCTAAGCATGTCAGCGTCTAGGCATGAGATGAGGCTATGCGGTCGAAGAATCTCGAACAACAGCGGCTTGCGGCCGTGGCACTCTTTCTGTTTGACCAATTCGTCGAGCCGGAAACCACCTGCCCACGAGACTGCTCTGCGGTACACAGGCGCCAACCCTGAAAGGCCCTCAAATCCCGGCCTGAAAAACAAATGCGGTGACTGGGACAGAAAAAGGACAGCATGTGAACTTCTGAATTTTGCTTGACGTAGGACAGCACAGTACTGACTTTCCGCAACCCCGATATGGCGCAGCATTTCTGACCACGACGTTGCGGCTTTGACAGTAACTGACGGTCGAACTGCTTGTCCTCAAAGTCCGTATCGCTCGCATCGAGTCACGACTATGTTTCATTCTAAAGCAAGGCAATGCTCTGCATTCTTATCAGATTTGCCATCGCCATTTCTTGCATTGTGGTCGTGCGCATGCGGTGCGTCCAGTCCAATATGAGACTGCTGCTTCAGCTTCTTGCCACAAACATGCAGCAAGGGCGGAAAGAGTGGCCTTCAGCCGTCTTCATCTCGGATGCATAACCTCCAAGAAGAGACACTCCGAAACAAAAAAACAGCGGACACTCCTGCCTTCGGAAACTGTTAATAGTCTGTCGCAGGTCAAAACGGCACCCTGGCAGCCCATCTTCTTGGCATTCGCATCCATGTCTGTTGCATCTGCTAACAGGAGCCAGCTCTGAGGCAGCCTTTGTCAAGTTCCAAACGTTGCCGTCGTCACCGTCGTATGACCTGTGGCGACTTAAATCAATATCAGCAACATGCAGTCACTAGTCGCACCACATCGCAACAGGCTACCGCTTGACTTGCGGACTCGATTAAAGTTGAAAGACTTTGAGAATCGCTTCCAGCAACCCGATGGACTGTTGCTCGCCATGGCCTCTCCCAGTCTGGATATTGGTAGATCATGTGCTCATAAGCGCCGGTGTCATTCAAGCCTTGACATGTGTTTTTCACTACATGCACACACCAGCCTCGTGCAGTTGCAGCAAACATGAGCTACATCGTGCTGCGTTACTTGACAATCTTGACAGGACCATTTTTGCAGTCCTCCTTGGCACTTGGACTGTGACCGAAATCATGAATGTCCACATTCTTCATGATGATGGGCAAAGTACCCTGCCATCTTAATCACTCGCACCGACAAACAATGATGCTGCAGCGCCCGCGGTATTCATGCACCACCAAAATCTCGCAGTGACTAGACTCAATGCAGCAGGCACCACCGCCGGATTTGGCACCAGCTTGTTGCAAGGGTAGATCCCCTGCCAGACATGGACGCAATCAATACATTGAGCAACACAGCCCACCATAACTTGAGAAACGAACAATGGAGCAAACAAACGAGGTTCAGCATGATTACGACTCGGTCCGCTTGCACAGTGCAACGCATGTCTGACGTCAATGTGAGCATGCTGTGAGGCACTATTGCAAATCGCAACATCGTGCCTGGTACCCAAAGTTGTGCACAATGAATATACAGCGAGATTGGTGGAACCTGCAACTCATACTAACTCATGCAGGTTTGCACTAGCACTCGATGCCACAGGTGCTGAAACACGACATCATCATCCATAAACAGGAAAGGCCAGACGCACCTGTGCAACGGTCGCATCCGATGCGTCAGATAGACCTGAGTTTAGACAAGTAACGAATGGCTCATGTAGAACCGAACAAAGCAGCATGAGCCGAAACATGACATACCGTGACGAAATATAGCAAAACAATGAAATCGCGTCAAGCAAGCAGGTAAACAAAACCGAATTTTCAATCCACGAACAACCTCTCGTTGACCGAGAGGTAAGATGTGTGTGGCTTACGGTCGGCCTTCCATCGCAGCGATACGCCCGACGAGCATCACTGCCTTGAAGGTCCGCTTGACCTTGAAATACCATGAAGGTCAACCGCCCATTGCCGCCAGGAGCTGGTCGAACTCGCACAAAGCGAATGCCACCAAGCCAGCGGTTGCCGATGCTCAGAGTCAAGACTTTGGATCCACGTTGGGCGGCAGGCGTCAATCACTCTTCCAGGAGCTCCAATGCTGGAATGGAGTGATGAGCAGGTTTTCACTGTTCGGGCTTTGTGGCTACCGGTGAATAGTGACACTAGGATCCTTCGCCACTTTCATCATCATTCATCTGCCACCCTCACAGAGGAGAGCTGGAATACACCAGTCGGAAGCTGTGCGATCGATCGAACATTTGGAGGCGATCGCTGCAGTATCTCTAGCTTCTAGTTGGAATGGCCGGATCCTGGTTGATCAATCAGCTGCTCTGTCGAACCACAAGACTGACCCCTTGAGGCAAAGCAACCTAGCCGAGTGTTTCAAATATCCAGCTTCTTGCTACGTAATTCACATGCGGTTTCGTTTGAGTCACAAGCAGTTGGCTTTCTGGAATCCCGAACTGTGTCTGCGAATCTTGGGAGGAATGGATATGAATGGATGAGCGAGGGAATCAGGAGTGGAGTCAAGCATCCAGGCCGGCGCGAGCTTAGTTGCAGGTTCATTCCTGGGCAGGAAAGTGCCAGTACACGCTGCAACCCACGGCCGCACCTCGAAAAACAAAAGTATTTATGAGCAAGAAAACAAACAAATGGGCATCAGTGAATCTGCATGCGTGACCATTTTGTGTTAGTAGCTGCTTGACAGCGCTTGAGAATGTGCTGACATGTGTCGTCACATCGACGCGCTTCGAGGCTTCGTCAGATTCTTCTGCGGCGTCATCAGTCAATATCTATCAGTAGCCCAACGTGAATTGGGATCCGGCCGGAAGCAGCGCGCTTTGCCAGTCATTCGCAATGAACATTACCTGGCAGGACTCGCCCTCAGAAGTTACACGGTACGAAGCTGCACCCCGGCAATAGCCAGCGACCCTCTCACCGTATGCAGCTCCACCGGGAGCACAACAGCATGGAGCCTCCATGCTTCAGAACGAAAACACATCACTGATCAGCAAACTAACATTGTGACCTCCAGGGCTGCAAGTGTGAAGAGCGCGAAGCGAAACAGATTGTCAGCGTACCTTACAAGTTGCGTAGTTGCTACCGGTTCAACATGAACCTGCTGGGAGCACTCGACACCCTCCTGTGCATTATAGTAGAGACCTTGGCTGAATTTCAGACTTTGCAGGTCGCCACAACATCACAGGAGCTGCATGAAAGAATTGCGAAGTCACTCGGTTGTCGATCAGTACTCAAACATACTCAAACTCTTTGCGGACTCTGAATGTCCACAGCTCGCAAGAACTCTGGCTGCCTGGCCTCCGGGCCGATGGTAGCAAGGATGGTCAACAAACACGTAGTCAACGCCTACAGGCTTCGTCAAGATTTGTCACGGCATCACACCTAGAGGCACCTCGGTCGCAGAACTTCAACCACCACCAGCACCCAGCATTGCCAATCAAAAGCAGAGCCTTCTCAGCCATTGCTGCCTACGCATCCCGCCTTTGCTGCCTTCTGCCTCTAGAGGCTGCCATAGGTGATAGTACCTTGAGGTCTTGCTCACATCGCTCACTCCGCCCCAGGGCTCAGGATGGAAACCGGAGATTGGGAGGCGCGCTTCACCTCATGCTCATCGTGGAAGAGCCAAATCCTCAGCCCGCACTAGACTTGCCGAGTGCAAACGCCTTTACCCTCACTAGACACTCACCAGAGAACCCTGGGCCCGTCAACGGCAGCTTTCCTTCGGTAAGACAATGACCGATGAGAGATCCTTCTGCCTGCGTGGACTACCTTAGCCTGCCGACGAGTAACCGTTTCACACTGTCTCAATATCTGAGCGTTGATCAATATTCTTGTTTCTGGAAATGGTTTCTTCGCGGATTATTGCTTTCCTTTCGCGGGACTTTCGCCCTCACTTTCGCGCGACATGTTTGAGGTAGTAGTAGGATTAGCAGTAGCAGTAGCAGTAGCAGTAGTAGTAGTAGTAGTAGTAGTAGTAGTAGTAGTAGTAGTAGTAGTGGTAGTAGTAGTAGTATAGTAGTAGTAGTAGCAGTAGCAGTAGTCGTAGTAGTAGTCGTAGTAGTAGTAGTAGTAGGAGCAGTAGTGGTGGTAGCCGTAGTAGCATTAGTGGTAGTAGAAGATGTAGTAGTAGTCGTAGTAGCAGTGGCAGTGGCAGCAGCAGAAGTGGTGGTAGCAGTAGTAGTAGAAGTAGTGATGGTAGTAGGAGTAGCAGTAGCAGTAGCCAGGCTGCAAAAGCCGACTCCAAGTCGTGGGCCATGGCGTGTGCCATGGCCTTCAAAAGACTGGGCTTCTTTCGCGGCGTCCTTCGCGCAACTTTATCGGATCTTTCGCGCTAAACCTAGTATGATTTCACAAAATTAGATACTGATGCTGCGTGTACGTCGGAAAGACCAGTCCTTGAAGCGCAAAAGCCTGAATCAAAGGCACGACCATGCCCGACTCCCACACCACCTCCCACACTTTGTGGACTGGCAGCCAAGCGGTTTAGCTTTGCGTATATTGCGGCATATTATAGCATGGCGGGACAGCGAGTTTGAGATCTGTATGCCTCCGGACTGGTACAGCATATGCCGTACAAGTCCTATAGGACAAAATCTATTATGCAACAACTTTCGCTGATTTTTGCTTTCCTTTAGCGGACCCATCGCGCATCTTTCGCGGACACGTAGTTCAAATGTTAAAAACCGTTTTATATAAATCCCACACAAGGACCTTTAGATCAATGCTCATCTATTGTAATACCACCACTCCGTATCGTTCTGCACGGCTCCCTGAAATGCTGCTTGTTGGTCTCTATGCCCTCCGAACCCACCTTCATGCTGCAACAACGGTCGCAGGTCAATTCCAGTTTGTAGTGGATGCAATTGAGTGGTAAACTGACTGAATCAGGTAGTGCAACAAAGAGTGGCCCGAGCAACTCCAAGCCGACCCCCACGCCGCTTACCATGATTACCATTAATTATTACCAATACTTCCAGCATTGCCATTATTACCAAGATAAATGCGACTACCATTGTCGCGATTTTCGCTCTTAATCATTCTTACCATTGCTTCCATAGTTTCCACTGTTATTACCATTGGTATCCTGCTACTACTAGTACCACTATTATGATATTGCAATGTTCCGTTAAAAAGATTATTACACATTACTACCGGTGTAACTACCAGTATTACTGCCTTTATTGCTGCTCTTATCACGAATACCATGGCTACCACATTACCTTTGTTTTCACTATCACCATTGTTATCGTCACTATCATTAATACCAGTACCACGGTTATTATCTCTACCAGTATAATACCCACATACCATTCTCATCGCAGTTATTGCTATTCGTATTATCACTACTATTGCTGCAGTGGTGCTACCATGGTTATTGAATATTACAGTTACTCCTGCTTTTGCTGTTATTGTTTTTGTTCCGACCATTACTTTATTACCATTACCATTATCACTACTATTGGTACCATTGCCGTTGCTGAACATGCGCGACATTGAAGCAGATGGAAGGGGGGGGCGGCAAGCTGGATGAAACGCTTAGGAGGGGTGGGATTAGTGGGGCGGGAGAAGAGGGAAAGAGGGGGGGGTGCGGGGGAGGTTCGCCGCAATGCCGGACGGATGCAGCACTGAAACGGTAGTTGAATCTCCAGACAAGCCTTTCACAATCACCTCTGCGTGAACCAATTTGGCAAACTTCCCGACACTTGTTGGTGAAAAGGTTAAGCGCTTGAAGACGCTGCCATAGTCATAGTTCAGAATCCAGGCTTAGACGCAGCACCCAGCAGTTCGGGCCTGATGGATCTTTCATTGCTAGGCTAGGCGAAACTTCCGAGATCGTAGCAGGCTGTGAATTGCCTCTGAAGTTGCCGGGCTGCACAAAGCAGGGGCGATGACAGCTGCGCGGCTAAGACGTAGCAGAGCGACATAAAGAGCGTGGTGAGATCATGTTCGAAAGCTTCTGCAACGATCCCATCGACTATGTGCGACATAATGCGGACAACAGGGCGATAACAACTTGACCGAGCGACCTGCAAACGCGGGGCTGTGATTCGTGCAGCAAGCTGTCCAATCGTTTTTCAGCCCATCCACTATTGGATGCGCGATGCTCGGAAAGCCCCCGTTGCGTCTGCCAGTTGTCTCCCGCATTCGCTTTTGTTTGCTATACATGTGCGAACAACAGCCATTTTCCGTGGTTGCTGTATGTTGCTGTCCCTAAACTGCACACACAAACACACAAACGGCAAAGCCTCACAGAATCAACCCTACACCCCCAACCAGATCCCGAGCTTGAACAATGACTTCCACGGAAGAGCCGAAACCATCAATTCTGAGGGGGCATCGGCACATTACAAAAAATCGTGTTCGTATATCAGACATTGTCAGACCTGTTTGTAAAACTAGTCCACGACGCGGGCACTAGAAAACATGAATTCACACTGGGTTATCTTTTTGTCCCATGACGTTTCCTTCCCACGACACAGAGTCCTGCAACGACTGCATAGAGTGGAATGGTCGGACAAAGGTGCTTGAACGCGACACAAGATCTACTCAACTTGCGGCATGCTGAGGCCCAGGCTTTTTGGAAGCAATGTAGTTGCAGTTCGCAAAATTGTCATACCTATCCAAGTACAGAAGACCATTCTCATCCCTGCATTCCGTATGACATCTCGCGATGCCGCTTTCGACAACGGGCAATAGCAGCTCCTTCTCCGACTATGCCCCACAACCCGCCAGGTTTCACCAGAAATGTACTAGCAACGGTACTACTAGTAGCCGAGTTCCGGCAACAGAGCAAACTGCACTTCTTTCCAAGCGCGGACGAAATCCCAGTTAGTCCATCGCTCAGCGCAATGCTCAATCACTCGGTTCCGATGTTGTCAACTGGTTTGCTTGCCGCGGACACTTCGCTTGAGTTTTTCGGACGCATTGCCTTGCAGCTTAATTGAACCGCGACTTGTAAACTAACATGATCAACGACCAAAAGCATTAGTTAAATTGATTGGTGTTCGTTACGTCCGACAAGTGCGCACAAAGAAGGGGCACATTGGGCTGATGGCCATCGTGCGTCTACCTCTTCCGGCCAGCTCTAGTGCCTCGGACCGTCGGAGGCAAGAGTCAGCTGCTGGTCAAGCAGCAAGCAGCAAGCTGACCCCGTCGCCCAAGGCTCCCCGCTAGCGAGGCAGTGACGAGGGCAAGGCCACCCGACTTCGACCTGCGCAGCTCTGCTACACGTCGCGTCGTCGCGTCCCGGCCCCGCCGAGGTTCCTGCCAGGGACTGATCTCACTGGTGACTATAACGGCAGGCACATCCAAGTTCTTGGAGGTGTACCTGACACGTCCAATGTCATAACCGTCGCTCTTGGCAACGCAAACGACAGGCGACAGGTCACTTTGGTTCTGACGCCAGCTGCTGCTCAGCATCAGCTACCAGGTCCTCCTTCATTCTACGCTCTGATCAAGATGCTCAGCTGAGATCAGGTTTCCGCTCAGGCCCCTGCCATGTCAACATCTCGAAACACACTAAGGGATCCTTGACGGCTCAGCTGATCCTGCAAAAGTTGGACATTGTGCCACACCCCTGCGGAGGACATGGATTGTGCCAAGCTTTCGAGACGAGACGCCCTGCGAAGAGCTACTAGCTATGAAACTGTGTAGGCTTCTGCAGCCTACTACGAGTATGTACACTGTTGATCCAAACCCCACGGCCAACCACCATAACACGTCCCTGATCTCGGGCCCGAGCCAACTTTTTCGAATCAGGCCCTCGGAACGGACTGTCTGGATCCTCCTGACTCGCTTCCTCCCGGGTCGCAGGACGGAGATCAAGAACGATCAACATGCAGTGCCATGACGTCCTGATTCTCGTCCATGACGACTTAATAAGGTCCTGCGGGACCAGTGCGGGACCGGACATCGTGGGACCGCGAGCTGACGGCATTGCCCCGCCCCTCCCGCGACAGCCGCGCCTCAACTGCCACTCGCAGTCGGGCCAAGAGGGGAAAACCATTTCCTAACCTAGAGAAAGCAATGCTCCCGACGGCCGGCGGCGAAAGCATACAGACCGCAGATCCTCAACTAAACCAGGAAACGGGGTTTGCAACTTCACTTCGATTCACGCAGAATGGACACCGCAGCATTTTGCTGGACATCGCAGCGGCAGCAAGCGTTTTTCCAAGCGGCCTGAGCCCATGTTGAGCTGCCGCCAGGGGACTATCCTGCGCTCTAATTACGGCCATAAGCTCTTGAGCGCCTGCGATGCAGCCCTGTGAAACTTCTTTGAAGTTCGTGCGGGCTCGAGATATCGCCACATAAGACAAAAGCCACTGCATCAGGCCTGTCATCTAGTCTACCAAGCACACAAAGAAAGAGAGAGAGAGAGAGAGAACCGAAACGACAAACAACTTTCCGGACGGATTGGTCAAAATGACAGCATGATTAAATGTGGCCCCGTGACCTCCAGATAGCGGCCTCGCCGAGACATCAGGTGGCGGAATACCTGCAGAGTGTGCCAGGATCTCATGCTGCAAGACTATGCCTGCTACTTGTGACGTTCTGGTTTCGACTTCACTGGGACGGCGGCGATGGCAGGGCTGTTCATGCAGTGCCACGTGTCATCCATGTCACGCGAATTCGGAGCCTCCGCAGCCAGGACCTCTTCCTGGTTCTTGTCCGGATGCCACTTGAGGATGAGGTTCTGCGAGCAGCGGATAGCAGCGGAACGTGCCAAACTATTCGACCACTAAAACTAATGATTGGAGCACCCGGGCCTTAAAGGTCCGGCGTCGAGTCTCCAAATCCTTCGTTGCGACACTTTCGCGACACTTCGCGCTCATCTTAGCTGGCCGAAGCCTTGCTCTGCGTCTGATCAAGCTCTTTGTCGACCTTGGCGATGAGATCGGCAGCCTCACAATGCACTGTCACCGCAGCGAATCGCAGCGACGAGAAATAGGGCTGCGGAACCTCTGGAGCGGCAGCAGTGTTCGCAGCCACCTGCTTTGACGTGCTGGCAGCCGTCCGACTTGTCCCGTAACATGCACATGTCGAGGGAGCACCCGCGGATTCGCTCGCTCATCTCCTTGGTTTAGGGTTTCGGGGTTTAGGGTTTGGGGTGTCCCAGGGTGAAGCAGACACACGCTGCACTGCTGCACCGTCAAACTGGTCCCGACTCTCTCGGCCGGTAGACACTAGAAGCAAAAAAGCAGTGTGGTCTCAGATGAGCTCGGGCACAAGCTGCCTTTGATTATCTCCTGCATCACTAAAACCTGAACACGAACATACATGAACATGCGTTTTCGTATGTTTTCGTTGAGAGGTGTTTCACTCCGGAAGGCGGAAACGGCTGACGCTCTTTCGACTGATGTCCGCGGCGCCGGGGTTGATGTGGGCCAATAAAGATACGGCAAGGACTGCGCGAGGGCTGCGCTTCGGAAGAGAGGGGCGAGCTAATTTCCCGCAATGTTTTGTTGTCCTCGGAAGTGGATATCATGGATGATGTTGGCAGATGTTGGCAGCTTGATCTAATTCCCTTGGGCCCGGCTTGTGGAAGTCGAAGCGCTTCCACGGAGAAACGCGATCGGAGAAACTTGCTTCAACCCTGCTATCCAAGCGGGGAAGCACCCGGAATATGCCCGCATGCAGACACACCAAGAACCAAAAAGGCCTTCCGACCCGAAGGCACACTGACACATGCGCAATACCAGAACTCGTGCTGCTGATGCTGGCCGCCATCTTCATGAAGGAGACTCGACTTGCAGTGTAAAGCATGGCAAAGAAACGGATGAGTCACGGATGGTGAATCAGTGAAGTTGGGGACTAACCATATAGTAACTATAGTGTTGTCACTCTGTTGGCGACCGGCGTGTTGTCGTCAGAACCTCGGGTCGGACACCTTGCCACGTATTTTGGCCCAGGGTTCGGCCACATGAGGAGTCTACATCTGCAAAGACCCCAGTAGCCGCCGTTTGCACACTACGCCTGGATAGAGTCAGGACTGGTCGAACACACTACTGGTTGTAGAAACAACTGCCTCCTGGCTACGCACATACTCGAAAAACATGCTGCAATCACGAGCTTGCAAGCATCCCACGAAATTTCAGGAGGGCCGCAAAAAGGAGTTCGGGTGCGTCCTGACACCACGATTTTCCAGTTCGTGGGCAACGAGCGATTTTTTTCTGAAATATGCGCCACGCCCCAACGAAAGGTGCGGAGCGTGCCGCTTACATGATTAACGCATATTAATGCCCTATGTTTGCAACACCAATGGATGTCGCAACTCATCGGTAACACCCAGTTGAATGTTGGCAAACATCTCTTCAACTGGCAACTGCTGCTTCCGAGCATCCTTTCATGTCTCAACTCATTTACGAGTGAGTCCTACCGACGTAGCCGTATAGCTGGCACATCTTGGCCCCGTGCCACGCGTCGAGCCAGATGCACCTGGCCTGCAAAAACATGACAACCGATCTCCGGACTTCCGTAGATCGCAAAAACAAAAAAGCTTACTTGGATTTGCACGCACATTGTGTGGCAGTTTCCGGCCTGCTTTTCCGTCCAGGATCCTTGGCTGCAGTGTCAATGCCGAGAATTTCAGGTCAAGGGAGGACTGCCATCTCCCACATGTACGGTCAGATATCTGATATAAACCATAGGGTCAGAGATTCAGCGACTTACAGGGTCTTATAATGCGTAGCTGGCTTTGGTTCGCGGCCAAACATGTTCAGTGGCCTCGAGCATTAGCTTGTTCCTGCTAACTGAACCCGGTAGTGACGTTTGGCTACCGCATCTTTTTCTCCGTTTGGGGCTTGTGCTGGCATAAAGATGCTTTGATTGGCATGGCCTCACCCATCTTATTTGCCGGGACAATGGATGGGGTGACACTACTGCTCGGCGCCGCGGGTGCAGTGTACATTTCCGGGTGGTGTCGGTGGAATTACAGAAAATCTGAAGTCCTGCTACTAGTACGGTGCCGTGCGTGTTCTTGGGTGCCGATTGTGCTGCCGCTGCTGTGAGGTGCGTAGTTTACACTCACCGGAGCCTGAGCAGCGCATATGTAGGACTTGGATTTCTAGTTGCTTGTTGGCCGTGCTCGCTGTTTGGAGTCTATGCTGGCAGAATGACGTTGGCCTTGGGATTTGCTTTGCCTCTGAATGGCGCTCTCAGCAACTGCTCCGAGAACCACACGTCCTCAGCACGGCCCGCAGCACGTGGGCCTTGTCAAGTAAAAAGCTGAAGCATGCTGCATAAACCGGTGCTAATGCTACCGAATCTGATCCTATTTCCCTTTCTCACGTTTAAAACTCTGCGAGAGATGGCAGATCGGACAAACTGAGAAGTGCGCCGGCTTGGTGCGGCTTCTCGTGCCCGTCTCCAGACTCCTTCTCCTTCTCCTCCTGTTTGCACGATTCTGTGCGCACATGCGGAACCTCTCTGTCGGCATCCTTGGTCACCTTTCCTCAATGGCTCACTGCAAGCTGCCAGATCGCATACTTGCGCACACATGGATCCCCTACGACTACCACCACTGAGGGACCACCATTGCTACTACTCCTATTGCTAGTACTGCAACTACTGCTGCTACTACTACTACTGCTACTAGTACTACTGCTGCTTCTACTGCTACTATTACTGGATCTGTTACAGCTACTCCTACTGCCACTGCCGCTTACTGCTACTGCTGCTGCTGCTAACACTCCCACTACGCTACGGTGGATGGACGAAATCTTGCACCATCTGCAAATGCAGACTTGAAACGGTTGAGAGGTATCAAGCCCCGCAACCCCTGCGTAACACTGACAGCTTGGATCACTTGAGCGGTGCAAGATATCGTCCATTGGAACAAATCTGAGGCGCAGCCTTTCACAGCAACTTGGACTACTTGAGCGGTGCAACATTCCGTCCATTGGAACAAATCTAAGGCTAAGGCGTAGCCAGCTGTTCACAGCCAATCCTACAAAGGCGATACGGGGAATCAGTAACCGACGTTTACAAAAACCGGTGCAAGATTGGTTCTGCTCTGACTCTTACAGTACCGCCACAGCCACCACCAGCACCAGCACCAGCACCAGCACCACCAGGCATTACAAACTAGAGTAACTAGACGCTGACATTGCAAGCCCAGAAGAAAGAGAGATGAAGAGAGGCTAACCATGATTGACCGTTTGACGTCTTATCAGGCCCTGTCCCGAAATGGACACTAACAGTCTCAGTTCACCGTTTGTTGGTGAGCACTGGTCTGGAATTTAGCTGCAGCACCGTGTTCATTGAAAGAAAGAGACAAAAGCAAAAACGAGATTCTCCCATGCCGTCAATCGTTCCCCGTGTTCCCTCCTTGCCAGGTTGCGACGCTTTGCCCTTGGAGTGGCCTGCTACGTCTGCGATTTTTGCTTGACAAATCTTCTGAAGCCATTGGTGGGAACTTGGAAACAACCCCGCGTGCAGCGGTGGACCCTTTCTGGGCTAGGCACTTTGACGTGGCGAGGCATTCGCCTGGCACGGGGCATAGCCAGGGAGCCGGGGCAAACCACGACAGCGACAGCCATGCCGTGGGCCTGACCCGGGACATGATGGCTGTCCTGAGTGAAATGAAACATCAGCAAGGCGCATTCGCTTGGAATACAGCTCCGCAAGAAATTCATGCGACAGCTTGACACAGCTCTCGAACACAGATCAGTTTCAGGCGGTTGCAAAGCTGTCCACGTCCGGGGCCTCTTTGCCTGCTTTGGGGGCCCTACAGCCCTACAGTGGTTCCGAGAACCGCAAACATCTCCAGAGGGTCTACACATGACAGGATCAACATGAAATGTCGCGCATGCGAATGCAAGCGTCTCCTGTACGACGGTTGCGTCGGGCAGCTGCCGCATAGCCAGGAGGCAGAGTCCTTCGGCATGGACTAGATCAAAATGTCATGCAAGGATCCACTCATTTACTTCGAAGCCTACTATTGCTTCGGCATTCCAAAGTTGCATGTTGCACCTCCTAGTCTGCTCCAGGTCTGTTCTGTTTTCTTGTACGCTGACTCGGTTGGCTTCTTATTTGGCGGATATTTCAGGGAGATTACCGAAGAAGCTCTTCCAGGGCCAGGGCCCCGATGGCGAAGTAGGAGTCGCTCTAGGACTCCTTGAGAAGCTTGTGGCTTCGACTCAGACCCTTCCAGTTTCTACGTTGACTCTACATGTGCTCGGTGCAGAGCTCTTCATGCTCGTCGCCCTCATCCTTGCCAGCCTCTGCTGGGATAAACCTCCATGCGTGCCGTAACTTCGATGTGACCGAGGCATTGAGGCAAGCACCCCAGCCCGCTCACACTAACACATGCTGGTTTAGCCATGATAGAAAACAAGTCGCATGAAATTGTGGTCGCAAGCCCATGTCGTCTTAGCCGAGTCGCAGCATCTACTTGTGCTCCCACAAGCCACGCTGAGTAACTTCTCACGAGCCGTCTATCAAGATTCTGACAATAATGAGCTTTTCACCACTGTAGTACGGGGGATGGAGTCGTTCTTATGGTTTCTAGCAGCTTGTTATCCGCCGAGGCCAAAGGCCTCTGGCGTTTTGATGGTTAATACTAAGTAACCCTCCACCTAAGTTTTGTCCCTGCACCCAATCAAACTGCCACCCGTTGTTAGCTCCTGTGTTCGACCCCGTTGCCCGGCTTCCGTCCTGCCACCCGTGATTTTCACAATTTCCCACCTTCCCCCCCCGCTCCTCCCCCTCAATTTGTTGCTGGTCTGGCTTCCTCTCTGGCTGCCCCTTGCGTACTTCCCGGCCCACTTCTCTTGACTTCCTTTTTTCTACCCTGTCCTTTCTTCTTCCAAGCATTCCTCTTCCACGTCTTCTTTTTCCACCTGTCCGCTGCTTTCCGGCCCCAAGCTCCCTCCTTCTCTTTCCTCTTTTTCCTTCTGCCCCACTTCCTTCTTTTCTTTGTCCATGTTTAACCACTTTTCCATCTTCCCCGCTACTTTTCCATCTTCCCGCCGCTTTCGCTCGCGTGTGTTTCCATTGCTCTTCTCCTTCGGTTCTCCTTGCCCCTTCCTGCCCTGTTCTCACTTTTGCTCCCCGCGTCCTTCTACACTTTCCGTCCTTCCTTCCTGTGTTTCGTTCGCGTGTTTGTTTCTTCCGTGTTTTTCCCCTTTGTTTTCCTTGCTTCCTCGTTGAAGTCCCTTCGTTTTCCTGTTTTGTTGCTCATTTCGACCCTGGCCTGCCCCCCTGTGGCCCCCCCCCGGGCCGGCCATACCCTAGCATTCTTCCTTCCCTTTCGTCCTTTTTCGCCACTTTCCATCTTCCTGCTGCTTTCCATCTCCCACCCTTCCTTCCTGTCCTTCGCTCGCGTGTTTTTCCATTGCTTACTTCTCTTGAGTTGCTTTTTGTTCTACCCCGTCCTTTCTTCTTCCAAGCGTTCCTTCTTCCTCTTCCACGTTCTTGCCTTTTTCTCGCTGCTTTCCGGCCCCAAGCTCCCTCCTTCTCTTTCCTCCTTTCCTTCTGCCCCACTTCCTTCTTTTCTTTGTCCATCTTTTACCACTTTGCCACCGCCTTTTCCATCTTCCCGCTGCTTTCGCTCGCGAGTTTTTTTCCATTGCCCTTCTCCTTCAGTTCTCCTTCTGTTCTCACGTTTGCCCGCCGCGTCCTTCTACACCCCGCGTCCTTCTACACTTTCCATCCTTCCTTCCTGTGCTTCGTTCGCATGCATGTTTCTTCAGTGTTTTTCCCGTTTGGTTTCCTTGCTTCCTCGTTGACGTTCCTGCCCTGTTCTCACTTTTGCCCCCCGCGTCCTTCTACACTTTCCGTCCTTCCTTTTCTGTGCTTCGTTCGCGTGCTTGTTTCTTCAGTGTTTTTCTCCTTTGGTTTCCTTGCTTCCTCGTTGAAGTTCCTTCGTTTTCCTGTTTTGTTGCTCCAGCTGCTTCTGACCGTCCCTGCCCTGTTCTCCTCCTTTTTCCATGTTCTCGCTGCTTTCCTGCCCCAAGCTCCCTCCTTCCCCTTGCTCATCTTCCTTCTGCCCCACTTCCTTCTTTTCTTTGTCCATCTTTTGCAACTTTTCCATCTTCCCGCCTTTTCCATCTTCCCGCTGCTTTCGCTCGCGTGTGTTTTCCATTGCCCTTCCCCTTCGGTTCTCCTTTCCCCTTCCTGCCCTGGGCGCCGCTGCTGGCACTACTGGAGCCGCCAGACGAGGCGGGCCGCATAGCGTTAGAATTATTACATTCACGGCACCTTTTGCGGCGTGCACCGCAAAAGCACATCGTTTTGGCATGGTTTCGAAAAAAGCCTTGGGCAACCTCAAGCTGACTAAAGCTGACGAAGTCGGGGCGCTGAGGGGCATTAGCGCACGAACGAAGCACCAGAACCAAGAGACTTTCAGCATTGTCTGCGTTATGACCGTTACCAGCACCAATGATTCAGATTGAGCCACGCGGAAAAAATTGAAGAGTTCGTTGGTGGAACGGTTCTGGAAAGCATCTGCGCATCATACCTCGGTCATGAACTCCAACAAGGTCCATAGTTGTCCATGTCCTGTGGTCGCGGTGCTTCCATGCCTTGCGGGTGCTGTCTTGCTGAAAAGCACGGTAGAAACGTGGAAGCTCATTCAAGCACTTCCTTGCAGTCCGTACTTTTCTCAGGATTATTGCGGCACTCGCCACGATTCGGGTGGCTATGAACTCGGGAACGCGTCGTCCCGTGGAAAGACCCACCTCTTCAGGATTCTTCAGCGATCTTCAGCGCTGTGCACTGCGCACCTTCCCGACGTTGTCTTGTGTTCCGGCAAGTTGGCGCTTTCTGGCATGCTCTGTTTGCAGCCGACAAGCAGGCCACCGGATGCTACTGGCTTCCGGGAGTTTGTGCAGCACAGCTCTGGTCTTGAAGGTCGAGTCAGATCTGTTACCGCAGCATGGATCACCACTGCACCGGGAAGAAATTTCGGTGAAATGCTCTAGGACTCCAGGGCTCACGGCGAAGGACCCGCCACAAAACCAGGCACCACAAAGGACAGGCATAGGTTCGAACGGCGATTGCAGGGAAGCCAATCACACCCGCGGCTGAGGGCTTTGTCATCGATGCCGAATCGAAAAGATGCGGCAGATTGCGGCAAAGAGGATGAAGGCGAATGAGGACCGAGCGGTCGGCGCAAGCCAGGCACGAGAGATGGCACAAGTGAGCGACGGGAGCAAAAGCCTGCTGCCCGTGTCGTTTTGTCATAACACTGCGTGCTGGCCACGACAAAGCAAATCTCGTTTTGCACGGTACAGTACAACACTTTCCGTCAAATCAAGAACTCACCCGCCACTGCCTGCCCTTTCGCATCGGACTGGACTGCGTCGAGCGCGCCTTGCAGTTCGACAGAGCGTTCGAAGCAGCCATCACATGGCTGCATGTTTACAATCGACCAACGCCAGGGGAGTTCAAGGAAAGACGGCCTTGTCCTCGCTGCGCGTGAACATGTTCTCCTTGGCAGTGTGGGACCTGTCATTTAAGATCTAAACCTTGATGCGGCACAACTGAATTGCGCTTGAGACGTCCGTCGAGATGCGTCCCGACGGCCTGCTCGGACTCGACGTGCCTTCTTCCTCATCATTCATCCTGCGAGCTCGCGTCTTTGGTGTCCATTCGGATGCGTTTGGCGACATGCTGCAGCTCTGGGTTCTGGATCCTGCACCCGTTCTCAAAAAGTATTCCTAACCGAGCTATCTAGCTTCCTGTCGCCGACCGAGCTGGCAATGAAACCAGTACTCCCGACATGCTTGGAACGGGACCAGTCTGGAGGCCCATCGAAGAAGCCGTCCGGAGCCGCAGAAGGAATCCCTCTGCCCAGCTTCCTGCTAGTGTCAGACATCACGAGCATCTGGAATGTTCTGAGCGTCCACGGTGTCTGAGTTGAAGCTGCCGGCACTGTCCTATCGTAGACTGCTTCCTCTTGCCCGTCATCCGCTTTCACCCTGCGCCGGCAAGTGCAACACCCAGCTGGCTGGGTTGTTCATGGCCTCACATGAACATGGCTGATGACAGATGATGATGATGATGATGACGCTCTTTAAGCCAAGAACGTTGATAGTGATGCCGATGGTGGTGATCGTGACGATGGTGATAATGTCGCTGCTGTTGTTGATGATGATGATGGCGGTGACGACGATGGCGGCGGTCGGTCATCACCGTCTGCTGCATCAGCATCACCAGCATCATCACTGCGTTTGAGAAGGGTTATGAAAGCTACTGGCGACTGTAGGGCAAACAATCGCAGCAGAGTTGACAGAGCTCGTGCGCTATAGCGCGCCTACTCGGCAGGGTGGATGCAAGCACGTAGACGCACTCGGCACGTAAGGACACAGGCAAGTGAGTGCATGGCGCTTGCATCTGCCAGGTCGACACCCTGTACATGCATGGACAACAGATGCACTTGCATGCACTTGCCATATCGGGCCACAATGCTTGAAAGAATCCTGCCATATCAACGCACTAAACCTGCGTAAATAATCGTAAATATACATGACATAGTCAAAAAAACGTTAATGAACCAACTGCACAATCACACTGCACCTTATGAAAGATACCCCTCCTCAGTGCCCATACCCTGGCCGCCATTATCGACTCAAACAAAGATCCTCCTCCTCGTGGTCATCATCTCGTCGTGGTAACTGCATCATCCTCCGTCGTCGTCATGGGCATCGTATGGCATCGTCATCATGATAATCCTCACCATCATCATCCGCATGACCATCGTCATCGTCGTCGCCATCAGCTTCAGCATCAGTGTCAGCATTAGAATCAGCATCATCCTCATGCTGTCTTCAAGAATCATGTCCGCAGCAGTGAACATGCCCATCGAGTACAACACGTACCTTCTCGGGTCGGTATGGCGAGAGTCTGCTCTGCCGTATGCCTCCGCCTGGCACATTCTTTCACTAGACCACATTGTTTTCAAGTTGAAATCGAATCTGATCGTTCCATTGCATTGAGGACCTTCGGAAATTGACTGCCGGCGTGGAGTTTCCTTGGCCGGCTCGCCATGTTTGCAGGCGACAACATCATAACAGGCGCTTCTGGGAGCTGGCCTTCTGGATTTGCTGCAAGACCGCCAGCCAGCAAAGGCAAAGCCAGAGACCAGTGCCACCTCAACAAGGCACTAGTAGCAACCTTGCTATCAGCTAAACTGCTAAACCTTTCCTGATCGTAAACCCCTGTAATGTAAGGGGTGCGAGCAAGGTCTAACAATGAGATGCGTGGAGCAAAGGGATTGCTATGCCACTGCTGGAACCAGCTGGTGCTTCATCGAGATCGGTGATTTTGGACATGCCCTTTGCCGGCACTTGTGGGAAAAGCTTGACCTAGCTATGTGCTGTCTTTGTTTTCCACGCGTCAATCGCGGATAGTGATCACTGCGATACATTTTATCGAGCCAAGCACCTGGCCGATGTCAAGGTAACTGTCACAACCACAGCTGCAGACCTAGGCTTGAAAACAAATGACAAACTGGCTTCAGCACGTCTCCATTTCGCAGACTTGGGCCGCCAGCACCTCGTTCCCGCCATCCTGATGACCGCAGATCTGACACCGGTCTAGGCGTGCCCTATGCCCTTCTGTGTGTTCTGCCACAAGTCTGCTACATAAAGTCTCGCTGCAACTCGCAGACCATGAGTGTCACAGCACAAAGGCTTGTGGCCACAGCACACTGCAGTTCAGCGGCCGAGGGCTGAAAAGGTCGTGGCGTGGTGGACTCGGTGCAGCGCCAAACTCATGCAAGGATTTGTGCTACGCATGTTATATCATGTTGTTTGCCTTCAAGTCGCCTGGATGCCCGATCGCTTGCAGCATGGGCAGCTTGATCCACACTGCACTTGAGCCTGGGCATTGGGCATGCTTTCTGTGCTTGTTCAGACACTGACAAATTCAATTACATTCTGCTGCACAGTAATGTTAAGTTATTCGGTTGGTGTTGGAAGTGCTCCCTCATTAAATCCACCATATGACACAAGTCTCACAGCAACGACTCCTTCCTTTCCACTAACCACCAATCAATCTAGATCTTCGATTTGAGCATGCAGATAGCCCATCTGCCGGGATGCCTCCCTCTGCATACCCACCTAAGGTGACTGCAGCGGCACGTCCCACTCCCCTCAACAAGCCCCGCAGGAGCTACACAGGAGTGAAGGGAGCGAAGTGAGGGTCAAACGAAGCTTGAAGCTGAGACCTGCAGAGAGAAATAAAATGCAAGATGTATACAATTTTAAGTCCATCTGGCCTGCCCAGCGTGAAACTCAGCAAGTCCGTTACGGTTGGGCCGAAGGGCTCTGTTTTGCATAAATCAAGCGTCCAAGAAGATCTGCGCAGCAAGGCTATCACTCAGTACCGATTGCCCTGTGCCCCTGGCGATGGAACCAGCCACACATCCAGTCGAAGCTTCGTGCACCTGAGCACGTGTCCAATGCGTGTACATAGGTACTTGTGCACGGCTTTGATTGACGAGGTTTGACTTCAACAACTTCCGGCGGGGACCGTACCGGGCACTGGACCGGAACTTCCCACCCCAGTCCAGCTGCCCAGTATTCCCTAAATGGAAGCCCCAGGTGGCCGTGGCCGATGTGCCACCTGGCTTCCTCCGTGAAGCGACCATTAGTCCCTGCCCGCACTTCGCGGGAGCACACACTTGGGAAGGACGTAAATTTTCCTTGTGTTCATGGCTTCATCGCCAATCCAGAAACAGACCTCAACCGAGTTGCACATTGGGTTACAGTCACTTGCAAGCCGCACATATTGGGTTCGTGGCTTCGCCCCGTGCCACGTCATGTTCAAAGGTAGAGAGATCGCAGGATTCGGTCAACACGGGAACAATCAGTTCGTCTGTACCAGTAGATACCAGGCCCTGCAAAACGTTGTCCCCGACCCCCCCCCGCCCCCGCTGCTTTCCTCCCCCAAGCTCCCCCTCCTTTCCCTTTCTCCCCTTCCTTCTGCCCCACTTCCTTCTTCTCTTTTTCCATCTCAGTTTTCCATCTTCCCGCTGCTTTCGCTCGCGTGTTTTTTCCATTGCTCTTCTCCTTCGGTTCTCCTTGCCCCTTCCTGCCCTGTTCTCACTTTTGCCCCGCGCGTCCTTCTACCCTCTCCGTCCTTCCTTCCTGTGCTTCGCTCGCGTTGCTTGTTTCTTCAGTGTTTTTACCCTTTGCCGCACGTTTGCAGCAGCCCACGGCTACTTTCTGCTCCTGCTTCTGCCAGCCTTCCGAGCCCTGCTCGACTACAACAGGTGCTGCCAGTCGCTGTGCTCCTGTGCCTGCTGCTGCTGCTGCTGCTGACAGTGCACCGCTGCTGGCACTACTGGAGCCGCCAGCCGAGGCGGGCCGCGTAGCGTTAGACTTATGAGCAATACAAGGGTCGAAGTCACCAACTAACACTGACTTTCTAGTGGTACACACTTTCCACAAGAAAACCAGCGTAATTATCCGGCATCAACATGTGCTGAGGTCATGCAGGTGGCATCCACTAAGCTCCCGGGCACATAGCCAGCCGGTCCGCACCCCTTGCGTCGTAGTTCTTGATGTGGCCTCGTGACTTGCGTGATCCCATCACAAAGCAGCACCACTTCAACCAAGCCCACAGAAACTCTGCATCGCTTTGCACCACACCTGCATCTACTGCCCGACTTGAATTGATTTTCCGACAACCTCCCACCGCAAATAAGGAAGCTGCCGTTTGCGTGTTGGTAGAACGTGTGCGTGTGAGACTGGTTGTGGCTGAGATGGTTGTTGAGTCCTTGGCTGAGTGTACATCACCCAATCTTTGACGCACAGCACGGCATGTTCAAGTCCGACCGTGACAGATCAAGGCAGATCTAAGAAGAAAGCTGGACAGGACGCTACCGGTGGCCAGCAGTAGTCGAAGCTAAGTGGTTTGGAGACACCTGCACCTCGTCAGCTGTCGTCGCAGAGCGCTGTTTGACATCTGTGCCCATAGCCCTCAGGAACACACATTTCTCCTCTGCAACGGTGCAGAATTGAGGAACACTGCAGGTCTCGTAGCAGAACACCTACGGCAAGGCCAAGGCACGAGGATGGTGTTCAAGAAAAAGCGATGAAGTTGCACTGCAACATGAGCCTCTCGAGTCCGTGTGCCTACCGCGCAAGTAGCAGAGCATGCCGACCAGTCGCCCTGGAAATACTGGTAAGGTGGTACCTTCATCACACAGCGAGCCGTTTGCCCAAATGCATCGCAGCAACACTAATTGGTTGGGCACGGTAGATGTAACAGTTGTCTGTGTGGTTGATGTAAAAGTCTGCGTAGCAGCCCCCGGCCAAAAACAAGCCTTAGACGCGGACAGCGGCCATGTGTGAAGAAAATAATCACCGCAGCATCATGCAGCAACTAAATTTGTCGGGAGTCGTGAATGTCAACCCTGCCACACTCAAGCTGGGTCTTGACGTACCGTTATCTTGCCAAGCTTGCGTATGATTCGTTGATACACCAGTGGCGGATCACGACTTCGCCTCGACCGCTGTGCAAAGCGGTGAGAGGTTCCGACGACCCGTTGCATCGACAATCTTGGAAACGAGTGTTGTGTCCGCGGTCCGTGGAGCTCCACAGTACTGCTTCAGTTACTAGCAGCCTAGCGGTTGCTTGCCAGCAGATGCCTTGCTGCTGCGTGCAGTTTTTTGGAAATCAAGTCAGTCCGTTTGGCTGGGTGTGAAGAGGTGCGCTGCAGGATAGTGAAAGACTGGGAGGCCGGCGACAGTGAGAGGCAGCACAACCCACTCAGAGCCGACGGCCTGGCCATGAATAGTTTCCGCTGCGTCTCAAAGAGGCTCTCTAAGCAGCAGACGCTCTTCATCCCATCCACTCGGTCGCATTCGGGGTGCCTCGATACACGAGACATGCTGGCAGGCGACGGGTCAGTTGATTCCCTGCGCTGTTCTGCAACGCACGGTCCAGATCTAAAGAAAGTTGCTGACACTGTGTCCGCTTGGCTTGAGCGAGTGCAGGGCCAACTGCCCGCCGGTAAGGGTCCGGCTTCATGAACGAAGCATGTCACGGCCATGCCACGCTGCGAATCTCACATGCTTGCTTGCTACCAGTAGGGCCTTTTGGAGGCTGCAAGGGTTATCTCGAACAGGCAGACAACACTTTCCGCTGGTCGAGTGCTGGCTTCTGCGCACTGGTAGCCAAAGACTGGTCGCAGCATCTGCGAGGCTATCACAGGACAAGGTCTCATCGACTATAGAGTCTAGAAGAGTCTAGAGCGGATGAGGTCAATTCTTCTGGCAACTTCTAAAGTTTCTCTTGGCGCCGACGAGCCAGACCATCTTTTTCAGACACATGTGCATCCAGTTGCTTGCTTGCTGACAATGTGTCTTTGCTCAGACAAACCATATCAGAAACGCACACGATACGTTCTGTGGCGCCTCCTGCCCGAGTCTTGTATTGTACCCTTTTGCTTACCGCAGGTAGTCACAGGCACATAGCTATGCTGCAATCGGTTGCATTGCCTTCTGCTTGATGGCATGCTCACGAAACCATCGCCTGGTGCATTGTCTGGTAGAACATGTCAGCTCGCACAGCCAATGTGGTGGACAGATCCATTCGCAGAAGTGCTGCTGCAAAGACAACGTATATGGAGTGTTGCAGAAGCTCGCCCTCCATAAATGGAGACACGAGCAGAGACTTCAAAAACATTCATTGGCAAGTATCGCTGTATCTATGAAGTGTCATCAGTTTGCTGTTCTGCATGGTGCCTGAAGATCTCACGATGATCTTCACGATGGACACGGAGCTCCTGGGTCGCGACGCCACACATGAAGAGGCTCTCAGGACTTTACTCGACGAGGACTTTGACGTTGCTGCCGGTTCCCCAGTAAGTGACTGCAATTCCTTTGAACATGCCTCTGGTGACACTTTCGCATCGTGACCGAACTCTTGCTTTGGTAGTCGCTGAATCTCGGCACAAGCTCCACAAGCCAGTGCTCCTGCAGAAAGCGCGGATCCGGCACCTCGCCAAATGGCCCACAATGCCTTGGCAATGAAGGGCACCTCTTGCATTGGAGTGGCATGTAGCTTTCCTATAATACTGTAAGTAAGGGGCACACACGGCCGACAACTGACTGATGTCCTGCATGTCCGTGCAGCGATGCGAACTCCCACAAAAACTGCAACTATGCTGCAGTCGAAATGACTGCTTTCGAGATGCCCCATCACTCGCAAACCGCCGATCAAATGGGATCCTTTTTGCAAATCAGAGCACTGCGTGCCAACAGTTTCATAGGTTTCGTTCTGTTGTGGAGGGGTGCATGTGTCAATCAACTGCAGCATGCCCAGGGCGGCTGTCAGACGCTTGAACCCAAATCTCGGTGCAACGGAGGCGAAGGCTAAGAAGGCACTACAGTGTTAAATACTACTATTCGAGGTGGCCTCAGCGCAATGCTTGATGAACAAAAATGAACATCATGAGCAAACACGGCTCCCAGCCCGTGACATGACCGCTCTGGCCTGAAAAAGCTCGTTCAGGCGGTCGCAGTACACCAACATCTCTCCGACTCCTCTATTGAAACGCAGATAAACGCAGCACGGACGCGGGCTCCAGCGGCTAAAATCCTCGCTCTAGCTCAACCTTGCGTGAAGTCTGTCGGCAGCTGCACCCAGCGAAACCAACTAGGGATTGGGAAATGTGCTGGGCAGAGAAAGCATGTCATGAACTCGGGTAAGCAACGTTTCGCAACGTCGACCCCAGCCAAGCTATGCATCATAAGTTATGAGACATCTCACTCTCCACCAATGGGATCAAACTACAAAAAACAACGAGGTCTTTCTCCTCCGTCCAGGCTCTTTAGCCATACCCAAAGGCTGTAATCGCCGACGGGCACCGTTGGTATCGCTGGCACTGACCGCGCAGCACCTTTTGCAGACTGCGAGTTCTGCACAGGCAAACAGTGACCGACAATGACAATTCAAGCCGACATTTTGGGCTTGCGACCGGAAGGGATGCTTTGCCCCGGTAGCGCCTCGATGCGTCCAACGTAGCCATTGGACAGCCAACATCGCTGAGTTTGTTGCAAAACATTGCGAACCGGAAAGTACCATCCAGGGATGCAGGCAGCGTCCCTCAACTCTGCGTGCCAGCCTGTCTCGTTCGCAAAACACAAGCCACTGCATTCCCGAACAAACAGCTTTCGTGTCAGTTGAGGAGCTAGAACAAACTGACTCGTGGCAGAACCATGATGGCTGGGGATGGGTCGGACAACGGCAAGCAGATGCCAGCCAAGCATACCATCAAAAATCACGCCCACCTGGGCCTCTGAGCTGCAGCATGTCTCTCACCTGCAACCGACATCGAATGTATCATTACATATCGCTTGTCATACTGAAGCTACCCGGATGGGCCGCATCTTAAGGTGTTATACACGGCCGCCTGCGGAAGGGCCGCGTGCAACGCCTTCAGGCATAAGTTCTGCACTTGGGATCTTACTTTCGCGGCATGACTGTGCGAGACGAGCAGAGCTCAGCGGAGATCACATAGATCAAAATTCTCTGCCTCTGGCAATCCTGACAGGAGCAGAAGCGGAGGATCGTGCCCGACCTGGGCAGCACAGCGCGATGATTGCTGTCTGGACTGTGCCAACAAGCCTCCTTTGAAGAGACAGAACAACTTGTATGACAGCACCTTCGGGCCCGCCTTGTTCATTATGACGTTTGGCATGGTGCGTGATGTCATGATGCCACAGCACGGGTTTGGCCTCTTCATGCATGGAGGGGCCCCGGTACTTGTTGCGAAGCACACATTGCAGATACTTCAGTAATGGAAACAGCCTGTTACGTCCAAAGATATCTCGATGCAGGCTTCCGGTTAAACAACATCGAAGCTGTATGTAACCCTCGCAAGAAGTGCCAGCTGGCAGCAACATGAACCCAATCTTCATTTTTTCAAAGTCTAATCGAAGCGGCGAAACCCAAGCTTGATCAGGACGACGATGAGTGTCAATAATCAGTTGCGCATGACCTTCACTCATGTCATGTCACGTGCGGTACGAACTCTGTTCATGTTGCCGATCCCCCAACTGACCACGCCGGGGCCCATGGCGGAAAATTTCACGTTTGCCGTCCGGCCCCCTGTATGTATATGTGAACGAGTACAAAGTGACGCCGAGAGCGAGATCGCGAACACAGAAACCGACAAGCGAGTCAGATCGAAAAAAAAGCATGCAAAGCAGAATAACACAAACAGGCCGCCTGTGGGGCACCTTAAACCTGAGAATCAGCCTTTGCAACCTGTAAAACACACTCCGCTGAATGTCGCTCGCACATCCGCGAGCCCTCCGGCTCTTGCACATCTGACTTGTACATCCCTTTCAGGTCCCTTGCACATCCCTAGCACGCAGCTCGAGCTATGCTTCGGATCCTCCATACCGCCATCACGTACCACAAGACTTACTGCATGCTGCAATCACCGCTTTAGACAACAATGCCTACTTGAAGTGAAAGCAAGCGAACAAATAGACTGACGTAGAAGCTTTGGCTTAACCAGGCCCTGCACCAACGAGGCCCTCAATCTGCTTGGACAGCTGCGGCAGAGGGCCTCTTCCGAGCAGAGTAACATGGGAGCGACTTCAAGTCCATTGAAGGCTCAAGATTCAAGATGGCCAGTTCCATCTCGGTCCTTCAGTCGGCTCCCGTGCCGCTGCCGCAGCTCGACGGCAATCGAAGGCGTCAGCTGCACGGCGAGGCCCAAGAGTCCACTGGCGGGGACGACACTTTCACAATCTATTTTCACGATGCTGTGCTTCCCATGACAGGTGTGATCGGATAACGAAAATGCCATAAAAAGCTGACCCTGATGAACATCAAGATACTCCCTGCCCTAGATGCAACACGATGAAAACAGCTACTCCACCGCACTTGCCTGACATTGCCGTGCCCAGGCGCTGGAGGCACCAAACCATCTCGAGTCTCCTCGGCATGGGATCGCACTGAGGGACTGCGCAGCCAAGCCGGAATGTGAGCAATCCCGTCATCTCTGCACATGTTGAGGGTGGCACTAGATCTTCCAAGCGCCTCTGAGTCTCTGAGAGCGAAGGGGAAGGGGCGAGGGCCGAGGGAGATGCGAGCACGAGGTAGGGAGGGCTTGGGCGTGCCATGGCAAACATGGCAAGCGCCGTCTGTGTGCCGGTCTGCCGGCCTGAGGATGATGTGCAAGGCATTCTGAATCTCGATGGCAGACTGCCCGCTCCTTCGACGCCAAAGCACAGGCTCTCGTAGTGGCAGCCTGCAAGTCCCTTCATACAGCTGAGGCGGTCTCACGCTGATGCAGACTGCACGAGTCCCGTCGGAGCTGGAGGGCCAGTCCTGGCTCAGACCAAATGCAACAGCAAGACGATGCAGGGCACGCGGCTCAGACGGAATTACAACGTCAAGCTTCACACCAGAAAAGGAACCGCCTGCAAATTGCAAAACCCAGCAACACGTAGGCAATGCCAGTTCGGGAATGCATCGCTTTGTGTAGAATGCTGTCTTATGCGGAGAGCTACACGACGACCACCAATAAAATAGGTTCAACATCACCGCAAGGCATGCCTTCAGCACACCAGTCGTCCACGCGGTCAGCCGCAGGGCACGATACCGTGTCCAGCAAGCGCGAACATGAGAAATGGAAGACGCTGTCAGTGCAGAGTGTTCAGTTTCAGATGGCAGATTCAGAAAGGTGACTGGGCGCGATGCTCAATTTACCAAGCCCCTAAGAGACCTTTACGGCCATATACTGCCGCACTGTGCTGCGCTGGCCTGGGGCAACTGGCTGAGAACTGCGTCGGAGGCTCTCTGTCTGTGGACTCCACGCAGCCTCAACAGAGCTCAGCTGACCTCAGATCTGAACCCTCGAACAAATGCACCTCCACGTGTAGTTGGCCAGACCAGGTGGCAGCAGCAGTATCACCTCAAGACGCGGCAACCAAAACCCTTTGCATGCGCCACCTTCCTCGATTTCAGCCACCGCCCCCCCTGTGCTCCCCGCATCTCCCCGCCTCCGTGCCTTTAGAGCTAACGCGAGGCACTACCCTGACCGCCCTACCTTTTCCACTCTGCACTTGCCCCAACAGAGATAGCCTGAAACCGGACCGAATCTGCCACACCCTGCAATATGCCTGAAAACCTCACCGTGGCTGAAATCATCTCGCCACCTCACTCCCTCGATCAGAGGACAGGACACCGTGGTGGGACTCCGTGCCACAAAATTGGTTGCTGCATCATGCTGTGCAAGCTCTGTTGGCACAGATAACAAAACTCAAGCTTAAGGCTTGGGGCCCAGCATCTTGGAGTGAGTGCTCCATTGTCGCCCATCAGTGATGCGCGACCATGAGCTAAACAGCATGGAGTGTCGCTGCTTCTTTGATATGCGCCGTTAAACCGACGATGCAGAAGCGATACTGCAAAGTGCAAGGAATGCAAGGAGCTGGAATGCAAGGAGCTAGAAGATCCAACGGTCACAGGGCATGAATTGTTCCAATCACACTGGATCACACTAGTGAAGAGGGGCCAGCCTGCTACGAATGACTGAAACCTACTAAACGAAGCGCTACTTAGGCCGGACTTGCACTGCATATGCTGCGTCTGTCTTCGCCCTTGGCAACAGCGGATGCATACTTTCGGTGTTTGCTTCATGAAGCTGCTACGACTGCCCGCCTGTGAGGGTCATGCAACCGCAGTTCAACTGCGACATTTGTTACCTGCCTTCCTTGGGCGTTCGTGTAGCCTTTGCGTGGTAGATGCAAAAGTCACAGTAGAGAAAGATCTTCAAACGATGATCGGCTGCTCTCGAGGGTCCTTCAATCATTGGAGTCTTGACCCAAACCCCACCCAGCTGAAGCCCCGGATCTAAAGCGCACGCGCGAGCGCACAGCTTTTTGGCATTTCCACCTTGGCAAAGAGCACTAAAGTCCCATCCTAATTTGCTGGCAATTGCACGAGCCACATCCATAGTCCACCACTGCACTGCATGTCTACGCTCGCCCAGACACGGCTCTCAAGTCAAGTGGCTTGCGCTTGCAGGATCCTTGCTTGCTCTCCGCAAGAGGACAAGGCCCTGGAAACTGAGATTTAAAAACTAGTTATGGCGTATACGCCACTGCATATGTGCATGCTACTTGATTTCTGACACATTCCAGACTAGCGACTCGGCAGCTAGGAGAACTGGCGTCCTGCAGGTCGCATCCTTATAGCCTTTCTATGCTTAGCTGCCGCAGTGTTGATGTTCATGGGCTGCATCGAAACTGAAGCAGTCAGCACAAACCCGAAATCTCCGACGAACTCTCTGATATTCCTGAATTGTCAGGGCAGCATCTTACGGTGCCGAGCCGTCATTGCTGGCAGCTTTGTTGACGGCATCAACCATTCCTCGTGTGAAAGTGCCTGTGCCACGGATGACCTTGGCGATCAAGTGCACCCAAACAGCAACCAACTTCTGATCTTGAGTTGCCCTTCAAACCGCACAAGCCTTCCCAAGGCTGTCGTTTCGCTTGCTCAAAGCAATGCCAGCGATGGCACCAAGCAGCAAACCTGACAAAGGGGACAGCAGCAACAAAGCATCAAGCTACACTTTCCCAAAAGCATCCAAAGGCTCACATGGCTCATTGCCTGTCACATCTGAGAGGATGGCCTGTTGGTCCACCAGCCACGAGCCCCAACAACCCTCCACCCAGGAGGCCAAGCTCTGCGCTTACCTGCTCGCACGACGGTCTCAGCATGTTGCTGTGCAGTGAACGTCTCTCGGCCTGGTCGCGTTTCTCTTCCGCCTTCTTCTGCTGCTCCTGCCGTTCGGGCTGCTCATAGCGGCTCTCGTCAGGGGAGGTCAGGGGTCAGCGTCGTCCTCCATCGTCTTGACCCGCTTCTCTTCTTCAGCTGCCTCTCCCAAGCCGCCCAGAGAGCGGATGCCAGAGTGTTTTAAGAAGCAAGGGGATCTGGAAAAGGGACGTGTCAGAAGGATCTGATACTTGTTGCAAAGCCCCTTGGCCGTGCCCTCTCCCGCAGTTCCAGCAAATAAACGAAAGCGCAATGAAACGGCAAGAAGGCGCGACGGCCTGCTGCTTCAACCGCTCAATGCGTTCCTTCTGGAACTCGATGTTGTCTCCTCGCGCTGCTGTTAATGCGTTGCCCGCGGCAAGGTGGGACAGGCATATAGACAGGCCATGGACAACGAAAGCTCAGCTGCGCACCCATAACTCAGAGGCAACAAACCCTAATGCTCATCTTTGATTAATAAATAGGGTTGGATCAAAAAAACTATTCGGGCCGGTTTGCCGACCGCCTTCTGGGAGGACTACTTAAATGGGGTCGTAATATTAAAATCATTATTTCGGGCGGCCGTTGTTTGGCATGGCGTGCCTCTTCTAAGTTGAGTACAAGCAACAAGTAAGGTTTGTGGTTATCCGTATCCTCCCTCTTATTGTTCTAACCACCTTAAGCGTTTGGCTGCAGTCCGGTCCGCGCTATTCCTAATCGTGGCCGGGGGGGTACATCTTGGAAAGCATCATGTGACAGACCCACCCACAATTCAGAGGCAGCACATCCTACATCGTGGCAGCCTTCACTTCACAAACCCGCCCACAATTCAGAGGCAGCAATCTGGCGCACAAACACTGACCTCAGGACGTAGCTTGTAAGACTATTCAGCTTACACTGCAAGTGGTTAGTTAGCCCTGTTACTACAAAACTCGGCCTCTGATGTATCAATCCTTGCCCCCCTCCCCGCAAGCTTTCGTGACAGAAGCATAGCTCAAGCATGATTAAGGATAGCACTCAGATTGTTCGCGGCATTGGTCAGCAGCGTGGTCTCATCAAGCTCCTTGTCCTCTAGAATCGCACTCGCCGCTCGCCTGCCCCCCTAATTCACGCCGGAGCGGACCGAGCTGCCTCGCCAGTGATGATAGCGAGAGCGCGGACCACTTTCTGAAACATGTCCTGTACAGCACACAGCACAGGACTCAAGAAATGACGACGGCAAAGCTTACCGGACCGTAGCTTCAGGAGATGAGTCCACATCTGGGTGATACCTTGACCAATTGAGCAAACCACTGCAGACACTCGATCGCGCAAGCTGACTTCTAACCTCTGGCTCCAGAAGTGGAGAGGCCCAAGCTTTGCGGCCAACTTTCTGTAGGCTTTCCGGGCCTCTCAAATGCTCAGTTCTGCAAGCTTTAGAAGTATACCCTGGAAGATGCAATTCCGGGAGGCATGTTTTGTTGCGGTCCTCATCGACTCCGGCATCTGGAGAGATTTCCAGAACCTGAGCGATCCCCTTGACGATGCGATATGATGCGATCGTGGATTCTGCGCGCTCCCACGATTCAGCACTCCAACAGTCTAGAGGGCCACACAAGTTCAAAGCACTTCCCTGGATGCTGGCGGTGTGGCCAAGTCTCCAAAGATCTCCCGTGACAATGAACACTTTCAAGCAGAGTTCAAAGATCCCTGACGCGCCACTCTTCTTCCGCTGCTTTCACATCGGTGGCGAAGTCCGCGGTATCTCGAAATCTTGATTCGCATCTCGCACGTCTGACTGAGTTGCATCTTGGATTTCGGAGGTCCGATCGTTTCCCGGTCGGGGTGCACACTGAAAGCAGAGGAAAATCGGCATGAAATACATCGGAGAAGGTGGGTGGGAAAGGAATGAAAGGACAAGTTTCAAGTGCATCCTTCGCCCAAGTGGCAACGGCATGAACAAACAAGAGTAATCGACGAGTCAGATCCAACGATTTCGATCGACTGAAGCACGAGAAGCTATGAGATGTCATTTCGCACACTAGTGTGCTACACACCATTCAAAAAACTCTGTGAGCTCGCCACTAAGTGAATTGGGCACCGCATGAATCAAGATCCGACCGACGGGGCCAAGTGGTGATGAGCGGAAACTTCCCCGTTGTCTAAAGGCAGGCGAAGGTTGCAGGATAGAAGGTCGAGGTTCAAGTGTCAAGAGTGGAACTGTCAGGGCCAGCAGCCCTTCCTTCGTCTCAGGTCCGTCTCCAAGCGGGCAGGCAGGGCAAGGCCAAGGATAGACTCGTAATGACTCGTAGCACCTCGTTGCTGATGGCCTGTTCTAGCTTACGGCTTCTTGTTCGGTGAATGTCGGCTCCGAAGCATAGAAACGTGCACGTATAGGAAGACACAAGAGGGGCTGAGACCCAGGCAGTCCATGGGTCGAAAGTGTCGCTAATTGCAGCGCCGAGCCGCACCTTCGTCGGATCCGGTGCCCAAAGTCACGCGCGGACTCGCGGCTCGCGGCCTGGGGGACTCCGCCGTCCTGGGCAGCTGCGACATGCTGTGATGCTGCAACTGCTGCAAGTCCGGGAAATGGCTACGCACCCTAAGAAGCCAGCGCTTGCCCGCCGAAAGCCAGATGTGAAGGCACCTGGACTGAGAAGGAGCAGTCTCTGCAGAAGTCAACGAGGCATAACGAGTCCATGGGTCAGGCCTCCGCAAGTCAATGTCCAGACCGCTGCGAGGGAGAGGGCCAGGCGACCCACCTGGCCCAGCGCAGGAGCCGGGCGGACGTGTTGCAGCGGTGCAAAGTCGCAGGAGATGCTGGCCATGACGGTCTCTGTGGTCCACCTGCACGAAATGTGCAGAGTGACTGCTTGCGACTTCACATAGCTGCGAACAACTGCGGGCCTGCGGGGCTACGGCTAATTCTGGGCCCATTGAGCCGCAGCATTGCCTGGGAAACTTTGAGCATAATGGCCCATTGATTCCTTCTTTCCGCCCACTTAGCCCCGCACTCCCAAGGACGGGAAAAGCGACGACCGCAGGTGCAAGCTTGTGGGGGCTTTAAGAATGCTAGATTCTGTGAGTCCATGTGAGCCAGGTTAAGCTGAACTACTCTCGGACCGTTCTACATTCGTGCTGGGCTTCTTCTGTGAGCCTCGATGCAGCTCAACTTACGCATGAATATGCAAGCATCTTGAGCCCCAAGAAGCACTGTGCAATACTGCGCAACTTAGCATCGTTTCCTAGGGCCTTAGGGTGCGTGCAAAAACAGACGAGTGAATCGCTTCCCTCGGCTCAGGGTCAGGCAAGCGAAAGCCCTGCAGATGGTCAAGTAGCGTGAGACAGATCTACTCACTCCACTGTCGTCCCAGATTTGTACCTGACCCCGGTATGATTCTGCACGCTATACGACTAGCATCCGGTGAACCTCTGTCGACACAGTCCGAGGGCACTGTGAACAACAGCCCAGGAGCATTCCAAGAGCCTCATAGCACAATCAAATCTGCTCCCGAAACACACAACCTTGCGAAGGATGCTCGTGCACGGCCAAGCGAAGGCTAAGCCTGTTGGCCCTGGCTATGGCATGAGGGGCGGTGGCCCTTGCCACGAGGCCCTGCAATTACTCTGCTCATTATGATTTGATCCACGTCAAGCCTTGTGTGGTTCTTTCCGACAGAGAACGCAATCCGATTTAATGCATGTGTCGGCCCATCGCATTCATGGGGATTAATACATTCTCAACGATTGCCCAAACACAGTCACGAGTCACAAGGACACCGTGCATGGACTCCCTGAGGAAAGCGCGGTAATGAAATAGAGGATTGTAATCGTTTTGCCATACCTGCACGAGACGTACCACGCTGCACTGCCTTCTCCAGCGTCAGCGAGAGGGAGCACTCTCCCCGTGACATCAAATAGACCTGAACAAATGATTGGGACTCACTTGATTCCACTGTACATCGACATCACTTGCCACACTAAAGCCAATTAGGTAAGCTTCCACTAAGTGGCTGCCAGAAACAGGATGTCGGTGACAAGCAAGAGCACCGGGCAGCCGCGCAGCACGGTGCGCGCCTCAATTACCCGAAGCTCGGTGAAGCAGCACAATCTGCACCGCCCGCAGGCTTGTGAGAGGCGAACCCACAACTTTGGGACGCGCTCGGCCTTGCAACGGAGCTCAGATGGCAGCTTGCAGAGAGATTCGCACACTGCCGAAAGCAGCCCATCAACGCAGGCAAGACGAAGCATGCGGTATGAGCAACGAGAGCAGTCATCATGCCATATGATCCCGATCCGGTGTGATCCGGTGAGACCCACAACCAACATGCGTCACTCCCACCAGGAAGTTGGGACCCTGCAAACTCGACCTTTTCGGATGACGGAGGCTAACGCACACCAGTCGGCCACTGGCTAGATGCAGCAAGCAGGACGAGTTTCCACTGGAGATGCTTAACTAGGATTAAAATGTTGCATTTCGTCTCATGTCTGATTCGAACTCATCGCGCTGAGAATGGCACCCCGTCTGGCAGCGCAAACTTTGACTGGAACTCGATCTTGACCAGATGTCCTTTGGTCGGTGTGCTTGAACGGTGCGAGCGCCGTCGGAATCCGAGGCCAGTGCGAGCATGTCGCTCGGCACCCACCTGCGTCAGTTAAACTTATATTAAGTATACAATGTCCGCCTCCACAAGGCCATGCGAATCTTCCGTGACAAGTTCCGCGCCGCTTCGAAAAGGCAGACGGCGCGACACAACCATCAAATTGCATCTCGTTTGCCATGCGTTAACCTCGTTCCGCCCATCTCCCTTTCGATTTCCACCCGACTCAAAATCGATACTGTATTTGCGAACTGCTGCTGGTGCGGCTAACTCGAGAATGCCACACCACCCGACTCTTTGCAGAGGCTTGCATTCGCAAAAACTGAGATCCCGAGAAGGACAATCGAAAAGTCCGGAGAAGCTATGCAAAGTCGAGAAACACGGAAAACTGTGAAAAGGATGAAGCTCCTGCGAAGTCCAGATGCACCGTGACACGAGTGGTTCGACTCCTTAGACGGAGACTCAGCGGACCCTTTTCGGCCCACCAGGCCTAGGTCGAGGCACTGGTAAGTGTCCCGGCTTTTGGATTGGATCATACTGTTTGCATCGTGGCTTGCAAGTGCCCTAATCGTTATCATTCGTAGCCCTCTAGCAGGGAAGGATGTAGGACTTTGCAATCTTCTGCAATCTTGTTTTATACTCAAAACCTGGCTGAGGCCGAGATACTGTTCAGTAATATTATACTCAATCACGAAGCAATGTTAAATCAACTGATACGTTATTCGGAGGGCACTAGTCCGTTACGATCGGTGTGCATGCACAGGAAAAATGCAGACGGACTCCTTTTTCCGGATGGCTGAAACCCGTAGCGGTCTGGATAAGTGCCGGGACCTCGGGCCGGACACAAACCCCAAAGAAGACTGCTACGGATCGGTACGGGCACCGGTCAGGACGGAAACCGTCGGAGCCGGGTGCCGAAAGGGACTTTGCGGTTTTCTGAAGCCGGCCTACGGCATGCAGGAAAGGGCAAAGTCCAACCCACACCAGAAATCCAGGCTGTAAGCTGCGGATTGAAGGGCCTAAATCAAAGGCGGAGACCAAGGGGAAGGTGGCGGGAAAGAAAAGGCTAGCACACCGTCGGTATGCGGAACGGATGCGCCTAAGTCGAACGGCTGCGGTATAGTTACGACTTGCCGTTGCGAGCCCTCCGATTAACACAATACGACCCGTCGAGAAACCGTTATTCGGAGGGCACTAGTCCGTTACGATCGGTGTGCATGCACAGGAAAAATGCAGACGGACTCCTTTTTCCGGATGGCTGAAACCCGTAGCGGTCTGGATAAGTGCCGGGACCTCGGGCCGGACACAAACCCCAAAGAAGACTGCTACGGATCGGTACGGGCACCGGTCAGGACGGAAACCGTCGGAGCCGGGTGCCGAAAGGAACTTTGCGGTTTTCTGAAGCCAAGATCCAGAACGAAGTCCAGGCAAAGGAGTACCCGCACCGGGGAGAAAACAGCCAAAGTCAGAAGTCCAATGCCGGGAAGAGGTCACGGTTGAAGGCGGCCGCAGGAGAGTAACACGGGCGCGGAGGACGGCTCAACAGGTGCCAAGGGACCAGGGTCTCATCGGCAGGATTGAGTCCCAATGTGCCCGGGTCGCGGGACCGGCTCAGGGCATCAGCAATCTTGTTACGGAACCCCGGAACATGATCGATATGTGCGGAAATGCAGAAATGACGCTGCCATAACAGGTAGGAGTGCAATAGGTCACACATACCGCGGGCCGTAGAGAGGCCTTTCCAGGAAGCCGATTCGGAAGGGCTGTTGTCACAGCGGCTGACGAAATGTACTGGGTGGTGAGCGGCCGGGACAACGAGAGCAACGCACCAGAGAAGCGCGATTTGGCCAAGGAGTTCCCAGGCAGCGATGAATTTCTGAGGGGAAGTGTCAGGGGAATACCAAGCACAAAGTCGAGCAAGATCCGCAGGGGATAAGGCGGATCGGAACCAGACCGTGCGGCCGGAGGGAAAAGCCACGAAGCCGCCCAAGCCCGCGTGTTTGCTGTCGGCACAGGCGTCAGCAAACGCCTCGCAAGTTAGCAGCGGCGCGAGAGACAGCGGGAAGAGCGGGATGGTCTGACACAGGCAGGAGTGCCAAAGGTCCAAGACAGCTTTAGATTCCTGCGAAAGTTTCCGGTCAGAGTCAGGAGGGGAGCGGACGGAAATCCAGAGTCGTCGCTCACCGGCAAAGTGGAGAGGAACATCCTTCAGTGTATGAACAGGGCGGGAAGCCACACTGACCAGGGTGCAGCCCTGGGGGCAACTAGCCAGACCGACAGATTTCGTGAGCACGAGGTCTTTGGACAGGGCTGCACGGAAGGATTCCCACTTGGAGGGGGCCACAGCAACATGAACAAGTGGAGGTAGGCTTTGGTCCCGATATAGCGGTGCAAGGGACGGCCGGAATGGACGAAACAGGGAACAAACCCAAAGGAGTTTGCCGGTGAGTTTGCGAAGCAGGTGTAGTGGAATCGCCTCCCCGGATCGGGCTGAAGAAATCAGAAGGCGGAGACGGGCCAGCTTCGGTGGTTCAAGCGTGGCGGTAAAGGTTTCCAGGGACATAGACCAACCAATCCAAGTCGGCCGTGCGCCCAAATAGGCTTTGTGCCAACTCATTGGGACACGAAGCACAAGAAGGAAAACACACAGCACAGCGGCCCAGACCGGCGCGGACGGACCGGAAAGGAGGGAGATCAGGTCGTCGACATAGATGAGCAGGGCGTGGCGGACGAACAGAAGCCGATGCATGAGGCGTGACAGAATCCCCGCCAAACGTGCCCAGTAAAAGCCGGACGCGCGTGCACCGAAATTCAATGTCAGACACTGGAACAGGCGGCCGCGATGGAAGAAGCAAAGAAGGCCTTGATCGGCGGCCCGGATCAGTATGCGCCGGTGAGCTTTGCTGACGTCCAGGATCAGTGCGAAGAGCTGTTCCAGGGCCAGACGGAGGGGAAAGCAGCGACGGAGACCCGAGATGGTCGGGTTCGCGGACTTATTGGGAAGAGTGGTGTGTTCTGTAACGCCGGAAACGCTGGAATCCACCACCAGGCGGGGTCACGGTCGGGGGCCTTAACAAGTCCAAGCTTCCCCACGGCGGTGCGAGCACAGGTAGCGACGAGGCTGTCAAGACCGCCCGGAACCTCCCGCACCCATCCTTCGGAAACTTCGGTTTGAAGAAGGGAGTCAACAGTGGACAGGTCGGAAAGAGCTGATCCCCAGGAGGAGGAGGAACAATGCTGTAAGTCCATGGATGGGTCCTTGGTGGCGGAAGCAGGAAACAGCGTAGGGCAGGCAGGCATAGGTTCGTCAACACCCAGAGGAACTCCTTCAAGCAGCAAGTCCACAAAGGGTCGATCCGGGTCGCGCGAGAGTTGAAGCAGCGCATCCAGAAGGAACAGGCGGAACGGTTGGCCCGGAGGGACCGAAAGGAGTGTATCAAAGTCAGTAGCCGCCAAGCCCAGAAAGGAGCGCAAGTCACCCAAGAAAGGTACCAGTTCGGACTCAGAAATGGGGGCATCCTTGGAACCGGATGCCAGACGAGCGCGAAATTTGGCAAGGAAATCCCCCGACAGGATGCGCTTAACCCAGAGTTTGCGCAGGGAGCCGAAGGTGTCGGGGCCGGACGGTTTGGACCAGGAAGCAGTGGAGCACGAACCTGCACCATCTTCAATCCGGGAGGAGGGGAGTGGCCAGCAGAGCTGTGGCTCAAGAAGAGCCGTTTCCCAGGAGAGGAACGGGACTAGGCCCACTGACCGGGAGAGATATGGTGCCATCAGTGCCGCAAAGCGCTCGCAGAGACCGTCCGGGTAGCAGGCAGTGGTCCGTGTAAGGAAGGCAGCGGACGAGTCACGCTTGCCTGCCAAGGGCGGGTGAGTGCCCGGCGGGTGGCAACAGGCAGAGGCCAGAGAGGAAAGGTCCGCCAAGTTTGAGACAAAGGTCCAGCTCTTTTTAGCATTCACGCCAAAAGTGCAAGCGGCAATTTCCACGGCGGACAGGCAGTGGTGACGAATCCAGGCTTTGCATGGGTCGGTGAGCCACAACAAGCTGCTAGATGGGTTCTCAAGCAAAACCAGACCACCCGAGAGAAGCACGAGAGTGAGGAGCTCCCGACAGAGCTCGTGCAGCTTGTCGGATCGTTGCAGTTCAGCCTGTTGGCGCTGGGAAGGAGCAGGGATGCCGTGCGGGTGTGCAGGTGTCCGGACTGCGGGCGGGCCACCGCGTTTAAGGCGAGCGCGGCTAAAGCTGGAGCAGGGTGGGGCGGCAACAGCCACACGCACGAGGCCAGACGAGCACAGTTTCCGCATGGACGACTGATGCTGGGGCAGAAGCAAGTCCACCTCTTCCCCATGAAGCACGTCTATAGGGGCAATGCGGTCGAGGCCAAGATTGGAAACTGCTTTAGAGAGCGGGGCCGAGCAACCTGAAAACAAGTCCAGAAACAGTGCCGGGCGAACAGGAGGATCGGCCGGGGAAGTGGAAGGGGGGGCCCGATCCAAGGATGGAGCTGTCTCCTTGGCAGGGCGTGCACACGGGGAGGGGGGATGCATGCCAGGGCGGGCCCCTTGCGAAGGTGGGCGGACAAAGGAGAAGGAGTATCGGAGTACCGGGCGGTGCGGCGAGCGACTTCTGAGTCGATCCGACTCCGAGGCAGGGGCCGCCTGAGCCACGGACTCAGCCGGGGCGTGATTTGAGATCTCCTCATCAGAGGAGAAAATACGCACGGCTTCATCGGCCAGGGCATCAGGGGATGAGCCTCGCAACGGCGGAGCAGAGGCCGACAGGGGTTCAGCCGCATCCGCGTTTCAGTGCGATGTGGCGCGGTGTTTGGCAGCCGTGTGTTTCTGGCCACAGGGTTTGCCGGAAGGGAGCGGAATCGGGCAGGAATGAGAAAAGCGGCAGGAATCCAACTTGCAACGGCCGAGCACAAAGCGTTTGCAAATCTCCTTGCCATTCTCGTCCACCTCATGCCACGACTCTTCCCACAGATCCTTGACGGGTTTCTTGCCGGCCGGCTTTTTGGCATCGGCTTTGGCTTTGCCGGTCG